TCCGATGACAATCACGATCGAAGGCAGTAACAATGATCAATCGGAATTACCCCTTGGAAAAAGTTGGACTCTAATCTATAGTGGCTCTTCAGGTCTCACTGAAAGTCTAAACAGGTCATCCCATGGCACAACACAAACTGTAGCAACGAACGTAGCGTCATTCAGAAGCTATCGTCTTATTGTTACATCAACCAGAGGAAAACATAATTCTGCTTCATACTCAGAATTTGTGATGATGGGACAATATTTAAATAACACCAACTGAATACGATGCTGAACAGATGGTTATGTTATCGTATTTCTTGCTTTACCATTTTCTTATTCTGTATGTTTGATCGTCTCGTTTTACTTTTTATCAGTATGTTACCGTTCACTCGCCGTTCTGCTTTATCCTTTGATGTCTCAAAACGCAACAATTCAAGAGCAGACATTGTGGAAAGTTCATTGAAAAACAGTGAAAATGTTTTATGAATAAATAACTTAATGTATTGATTTGTATTTGTGTCATGATTGCCAAATAGAAAATATCATTGTTGTCTAGGAAAGAAACATTTCAAGAATGAATTTATCGGAAAAAGCTTCGTGTTACATATGAATGATATGAGATTTTGTTGACGAAGAGTATTTGGACAATTTATGTAACGAAGCCAGTTGGATTTGTTGGGGTCAATTGCATCGACATAATATTTTATTTGACCTGTCTGATCGGGTATCTACATTACGAATAATATAGGGTGATGTAGTAGATAGTCTTAATTCTTACTTGCCAAGAATAAATGCTCGTCTTTTGAAGAGGATTCGCTCCATATCTATGACCATCGTAGTCGTAGGGACCAAAAAAAAACTGGACCGTGTGTCCCCTTAACGGTGTGAGACATACTTTCAGTTTCTTTGGTTGATCTTCACAATTTGAAACACTGTGCACGTTCAAGTATCGACAAGAACCATAATAAAATTCGCCGACATCTTATTCACCACATTCGAGTCATTTATTGCTCTTATCGTTTAGCTTCTATGGCCTTGAGTTTACACAGAGAATATGAAACCATATATTGAATCAACCAGGCTCTTTTTTCTTTTCATTCCTATCTTTTAATTTCTGACATTATTTGCTGATAGCGTACGCTGTCTGTGGTATAGCATATAGGAAACGTATATTTTACGACCCACTTGTAAGTTGTCTTGCTAACGACTCTATTTTGTAATGTTTTTTTTTTTGGTAACAAAGCTTTTATTCGTGTAACAATACTGCATAGACAAGAGAATCAACGGTTAGTTGTTACACGAAAGCTGGACACGAGAAAACGAAAGAAGAAAGGACCCATGACGTATGCCTTTTGTTCTAGTAAAAGAAACGTGAGAAAATAAGCATGGAGAAAAAGAGGTTTCTGTATGATAGTGGTGTGCGTCTGTGATGTGTCATAAAAGAGAAAAGAAGTTGAAGGAAAGGAAAGATAATTGAAACGGTAGCAGTTTAATCGCTAAATAGATTGAATTGTTTTCGTATTGTATATAAGAACGAGTGAAAGATTTGGTAGTGGTGAAAGAGTCAGCAAACACGTTGATTCGATTCGATAACATTTTTTTTTTGTAATGTGACGCACAATCAATCAATATTCCCATATCAAATAGGCATTCTCTATATTCTGCATCGAATATTCACATCGGTATTCTCTTGCGTCCTGTTTCTTTATTTGTTAAATAGTTGCCCATGAAAAGTATCGCGAAACGAAAGGAAGCCAATAGAGCAGCATGCAAGATATTCTGATTACTTAGTGAATGAATACTAAAGTCATCAAGATCACACAATTTTGTGTGAATTATATGCTCTTTTTACTTGTGTTATTATACTGCTAGATTCGTATTTCAGTCAAATCCTCGATATTTGATCGAATGACTAGCACGTATTTCTCTATTGTTCTTCTCATCATATATTTTGTTGTCAACGAACATGAAGGTGTACCAATCATTGATCAGACCAATCGATCTCTTCTTGATTCATTCTCACAAACAAACAAACTTCCATCATTCATCAATCGAACCCAACAAATCGGTAAGTTCAATCGTTCGAACAAGTGGTATTTTCGATAGATGAGTAACTGAACGATGTGTAGTCGATCAACTTCGATGTTCAAAAGGATGGAAACAGTTCGGTGGTTCGTGTTATTATCCTTCACTCATGATCTCAACAGTTGACAAAGCCAATGAAACATGTCAGCGTCTTCAAGTCAATAACACACACTTGATGCGTATCAAACATGTTCCTGAATTGTCGTATGCTGCTCATTTGTACGCCACTAATACACTGATCGAGTTGCTGGTCGAAGTTGATCCAGAATTGCTAAAAAGTATGAAGCGACTGTCACTATGGAATGTTGTCGAATTTTAACTGAATTGTCAGGTAAAGCGCTTGGGGATAGAATGTTGACCAATGAGCACAGAGATTGGCGAATGATGAAAGATCAATTCTATCGAGCACTAGTGAACAGTAAACATCACGACAAGTCTTTCAATCTGAGAAATACAATTATTACTAATGCGAGCAGAGAAAAGAATGATATGTTCGAACGACTGGACCAAATTCATGATCTCTGTTATCAGTTTGCATGGAATGTATTGAGCAATGACTCACATTTGTTCGTCTTTTCCACCTATATATTATCAAACAAGACAATTTGTTCACTGAGTGACGTCGATCTGAATTCAACATATACATACGCTTGTCAATATGGTTCGTATTCTTCTTTTGCTCTGAAACGGAATAGCAAAGAATTACTTTTAAAATTTAGTGTTGGACTTTTGTTTCGAAAATGTCATGTGCGGAAATCATGGTAAATGTAATAATACTATTCAAGGTTTCATATGTTCATGTTCGTTTTGGTTCGGTGGTGTTTTCTGTGAAAAGCGTAAGATGAGTTGACAGGTTTTTATGTGATAGAAACTGATTATTTCATTGATTTGAAAGTAGCATGGGAGACAATACAAATGAGCATTGCTGCAGTTCTGATAGTCACTCTTACATTAATCCTTTTTACTTCTAAAGTTGTTCACGGTATGAAATCTATGATGAAACGTATCGCAAAGTGAGTTTTGGTCGCTCTGTTTTCATAACAATGTTTTTATAATTTGTGTAGATGCTGTAAATCACAAAGAGCTGATGTCAATAGACCGAATGACAATAAAAACAGAACGAAAAAGTAAGATTTGAATCAGGACGAATTAATTTTCGAGAAGTTGGTTCTTGTAGAGCAAAACTAAGACGACAACGTTCAATCGGAGTTTTTTTTCTGTTTCTTATCTTTTTCTGTCTGCTTATTATCATTCCAACTATTTTTCAATTACAAGCGTTCTCATTTGATGATATCGATCCAATGAAGCCTGATTTGTTGTTTGATAAAGTTTTATCAATATTCAAAACCTGCGAACGCAAAACTTTGCTACCAATGATCGATCGTATTTTCTTGGCAATTTCAGTCTTTCTCACTATCACCTTCTTCGTTCTACAACCGAAGCCAGCCGAAAACAGCTCCCCATCTAATAGCTTCAAATTGAAGGAGATTCAACCGACGAGAAATAATGTTGAAATGGTCGCACTTTGCTCTTCACTACCTGCAGCAGCGGCTGATAACTCCGAACAACAACTTCTACTATCGGATCAATCACGTAATGACACCACTCGCTCAACTAATCGAAACGACCCTTTTTCGGGTACAACAACTCCGCTTCAACTGAAACTACCCTCATCTGGTGCATAAATACATATTTGTAACAAACTAATTCATTGAAATTTTCCAGGACTTCCATCACTTTGCTATCCAATTGATATCAAAAATCGATATCAAACGGCTGCTATTTTTGGCATCCTTACATTCGAGATATTACTATTCTTCGATGAAGTTTTACTCGCGATCAGCGGCACATCGAATGATGGGGTAATGATTATATTTCTCAAACGGATATTTCTTGCCATTCTCATCGGGTTTGGGCTCGTCATCTTTTCCATCTAACTCATGTTTTCTTTCGAACTTTAGATTAAGATACTATCCACTACTGCTTGCACTACGTCTCCAACAAACCGTCGCTCAATTAATGGCTTTTATCTATGTGATTGGCATCATAGCACATACAATCTATCGCGAAAGCTTTTGTCTTGACTTTTTACCACATTCTGCGGATACTTCAACGCAAGAGGAAGTTCAGCTTCGTCTTGTAAGACATTGCTCGTTATTGAAACAGAATGAACATGTTTGCTTTGTTTTAGCAAATCGGTACTTGGTTTATTGTTTACGGATTAATTGCTCATTTGCCACATTTTATGTTACTTTCATATATTGCTGCCGAATTTGGGATGCGTTTCGTGTTTACTTGTCGTAGTATATATCCAAAAGATTACGGTGAGTATATAAGTTCTTGATGGTAAAAACACTGGAAATTCGCTTTCTTTGATAGAGAAAAAGGTTTATTCAAAGCCCATACAAGTATCCAACGACACACAACATGATGATGGATCGTTTTTCGATAAAATTTACAAATGGAATGATGATTTCTCGTTTACATCAATGTTTATTTCAACATATACAGTGAATTTTATCATTTTATATCATTTATCGTGCACATTTACTTTTCTCTATACGACACGATTGATGAGTCCGACCTTGTTCATAATCAATACGCTTGAACAATTATTCAGTATCGGTTAGTGCTGATATACATACGTTTAACCAAAAATTATGTTCATTTTTACCCCTAGAAATCAACGACAAGTTCTTTCATGAGGAAATCATCTTTAGTGTTTTTATAACTGCAGCGACCTACATTGGTCAACTGATTCTGGGTATGAAAAGTTTTCGGGAACATATTTTAGCATTTTACAAAGAAAAAGAGGAAATTGTAAACAAAATAGAAGAGAATGTAAAAGAGAACGAAACGATTTCGCGAGCAACTCAATATCCCGGTTATCTTATTCGATATACAGTTGGAGGTTTTGTCATTACTTTTCATCTGATGATATTCGTTGCTGTCTTACCCCGTTTGTTTTGGTTTCATTCGTCTTCATTCAAATGGGTATTACAATTGATTTTACCTATATTGATTCTATATGCACTGCAAAAGCTAATGGCAAAATCCAGTACACGATTGATTGACGCTGCTCAAGATAAGAGAAGCGATTACAAAAAGCTTTTCGTCAATATTCTACAATATTTTGTTTTAGTTGCTAGTAAGACACGCTCATGTGAAATAAATGTCTGAGATGGGCCAGTGTTTTCATTTAGATTGCTTTATTGGTATCATGTCTTCAGTTATTCGTGTGATCATGGGATCAGTAGCCAACATCATATTCATAAATCGTGTCGATTTATGCCTTTTTCGGGATCCGTTGGAGAGAATGGGTATTTCTTGTATTGAAGGGTTGATGCTTAATACAGAATTTTGGTAAATTTAGATCGTGCGTACGTGGCATACTTGCACTTTGTGCATGTAGAATATCATACAAAATATAAACATTCGCGTAAGTTGATTTTGATGGATCAATGTGATTGTGTCCCATTTTTCGTTCGTTATAGACAAAGATGATAAACTGAAAATTTTTTGTATATGTTTATTTAGATATACAAGAGATTGAGGACGAAGAACAAGTTGAGTCCACTAATGAAGAGGAACTAGTCAACGAGCAGTCTTCAGAACCCTCTGAATCAGAGCCAGACCAAACTGAGCAACCATCTAACGAAGAACCTGCACCACATGTACAGGAAGCATCCGACGTGTCCAATCCATTACCTGACGATATTAATCCTTCCATTTTGCCGATCGTCCCCGAGAGGTCTGCATTGAGTGCAAGTAGTAGCAGCCGTGACGTCAATGAAAGACAACTGCTTCTCCTTCAACGTTGGAATGAAATTAAGAACGAACGCGTGGAAGAGAATCGAACTTTAGTTACGGAGGAGAAGCAACTCAGTAGAATTCAATGTAAACGAGTTTCAATACGTGGAGATGGTAACTGCTTTTTTCGTGCAATTTCTGCTCAATTGAATATCCGTCATAATCATTCGAATATTCGCTCCGAAGCGGTGAATTATCTCCGCAGCAGGAGAGACTACTTCGCAAGTTTTATTGTCGGAATTATCCGTCCGACGGTAGACGCTTATATTAAAGAAATGGCACACAATGGAGTTTATGCTGATCATCCGATAATCTTTGCTACAGCTACTGTCTTGGGTCAGAATATAGTTATTCATGAAATAGGCAAACGACCTCTGCTGATTCCCGGTTCGGATAACATCAACAATCAACTACATGTTTGGTATAATGGTATCCATTACGATAGTATCGTCACTTCTGATGGTCGTCATGTACCAAATATTTCTCGAGAAAACCTTTTAACCTCATGATGATCAGGATTCGTTCCTGAGAATGTATTTACTTGGAAAATAAATAGTGATAGTCATGTGTGCTTCTTTCGATTCGAATCATTTAAACAATCTCAAAGGGCTTCAGCTTACGGAAGAGTACTTGTTCTTTACTCATAGCTTCGGTTAGGTAACATTTGATCATAGGAAAATATAAAGAAAAGAAATTAATTATACACAACTTCTTCATATTGTGTAGAGAAACTGAGTGAAAATATCCATGTTCATCAGCTTTCAACTGAATTTGTCCTACTTGAGTCCAATGATTGGTTTGTAATATGCTTGTTTAAGTGAAAAATATTACACAGATGTATATAAAATGGGAGAAGTTTGATCAATATGACACAAATAATATTAACGCTATTTTAAAAGCTATTCGTCTTCTTCGTACACTTCGTTCATTAATCACTATTCAGACCAATCCACATGGTACTCGCTGACTTTATGTGCATTGATTCATCAACATACACAATTGCTTTTGGCCTAGACTTCTTCTTTCATCCGAATAGTTCACGAGAACTTCTTATCAAACGAAAAGTCGAAATGAGAAATATCGTATCCATGTCTAAGGATGGTGGAGTTCACACTTTCCATAGCTATTTATTTCCATTTACTTATTCTATGTGGACATCTTCTAACATTGCCCTTCACATGTCGCCTCGTTGATGACACACCCAATAATAAAGAATACAATTTTATGTTCGCAGTTAAAAGAATTCCAATTTCTTTAATGAATCCTCGCACATGCTGTCGAACATATCAGAGAAGTACAGATGCGTCTGGATGACGATAAAGAACTAAAAGCATTCGTTCAATTGTTGTTCCCAAGCGCGTTCTCGCTCGTTTTGACTTCTCAATTGAAGATATGTTTACTCATTCTTGATAAATCCTTTTTAATGATAAATCGTAATGATCCATGCAAAAAAATATGTGAATAAAAACTTGATCTAACCAAATGGTCTCTTATCTTGAATATATTTATAACCTTGAAGCAATATGCCTTTCTTTACATCAGTCGTTCTTCTAAATTTCAATCAAAATAGTACATGATGATGATCTTCTTCGTACTCATCATTAGTAACTTGCTCTACACAATACATAGTATTCCTCCATCATTACCCTCTCAATTATATGTTGTTCCATTTCGAATATTTTCCGAGGGAAATGCAGATGGCTCCGTCGATCGTCCTTACACATCAATCCAACAAGCACTTGATCACATCGATACGGACAGAAAACAACGAATAATAATTAATCTATATCCAACTTATCACTTCGTTAATACAATTACATTCACTGAACAACACAGTCGCATACGATTAACAACAATGAATAATGAAATCGCGTCTTTCTATGAAAAAATAGCCATCAACGATTCTGAATACTCTCGATTACCACACGCAAGTATCAGTGGTGGAATACCAATAACTGGGTGGACAACAACAGGTGGAAATATTTACACAGCTACTGTACCACAACCGATCTTTGTCAACCAACTATTTGCGAATAATCAACGTGTTAGTCGTACACGTCTTCCACTGAACCAATCTTATTATTTTCAATATGCTGCGCCGTTACAAGATCCCAATCAAGCTCGATACGGTTTTCAGTATGATCGAGGTCAGTTTGAAAATTGGCCGTTGGATGATGCCATGGTTGTTGTCTATCATAGTTGGACAACATCACATCATTATATTGATCGAATAGATACAACAAACAGAACGATATTTTTTACCAATCCATCGAATTCACCGATTGGAACATATGTTATTCAAGGACAACGGCGATTCCATGTCGAAAATCTTTGCATTTGGGTACCAAATTCATTTTGCTTTGTGAATGCAACCAGAACGATTTATCTGATGACCGATGGGTCATATGATCCAACAAAAGTACAAATCATCACACCCGTCGAAGAATTCGTGGTTATCATTGCCGGTACAGATGTGACCAATCCCGTCTCAGATATTATTATTGATAATGTTGTAATCGAACATAATGCATGGAATATTGCTCGAACCGAACAAGCGGATTATCAAGCAGCTTCATTTCTAACATCCGCTGCACTTTACATAGCAAATGCGACGTCAATTGTGATTTCCGATGTTCAGATTCGTCACACGGGCACCTACGGCGTTTGGATAAAAGAAGGAACGACGAACATTAATCTGATGAACTCTTTGATATCCGATACAGGTGCCGGCGGAGTTCGTGTTGGTCAAATGACAGCGCCGGTGACAACACCAACGAGTTCGATACAGATTCTATCGAATGAAATTAGTTATGGTGGAAATGTTTTCCCAAGTGGCGTTGGACTTCTGATTCATCGCGCCACGGATGTCGTTGCTGTCGACAACAGTATTCACCATCAACGATATACTGGTGTTTCCGTGGGATGGGAATGGGGTTACAATCCATCGTATACGAGCAATATTCTAATTCATAGTAATTATATTTATAATACAGGAGAACATATCCTTTGCGATCAAGGTGGAATTTACACACTTGGAATTCAACCAGGAACAGTGATATCGAACAATGTGATTAAAAATGTGTTTAGTTATGCTGCATACATGTGGGGGATTTATTTAGATGAAGGCTCGTCAGAAATTGTCGTTGCAAACAATGTCGTGTATAATATTGGATGGGCGGGTTTGTTTCAACATTATGGTGCTAATAATACAATTATCAATAATGTTTTTGCACGCACATCATTGATTACTCCGCCACAACCCGATGATCCAATTCCGGATGGTGATCTTCGTATCATGTTAACTGAAAATCATTTATCGTGGAGATTCATAAATAACATTGTCTACGATACATACCAAGGAACTAATCATTCGATTTTTAAATCGGATTCTCCAAACGTATCGGTAATTTTCGACAGCAATATTTATTATAATCCATTTCAAACGAAATTATTATTTGGAATTCAACAAACATCCTTTGAGGAATGGCAAAAAACTGGACAAGACAGTAACAGTACGATTACAGATCCGTTATTTGTTGGTGATGTCAATCAATGCGACTTTTTTACTGTTCAATCAAATAGCCCAGCAGCGAAACTTGGATTTAAAAATATAACTAAGCTCCCGAAATGGAGTCCAGGATGTGGAATCGATAATTCCAACGAAAGCAGTAATCAATTTTACCATTGGTGAAAAAAGAAACTATTCTCGTCGTAGTTGTAGTTTCGTCCGTTGCTTATATTTTTAGAATATCAATAAAACTTAGTTTCAGAAAAATGTGGTATTCTTATTTAGCTATTTTACCGGATCAGAATGTTATACTGTATTTAAATCATGTCTCAGCCTATAACTGTCATGAGGATCAGCGGATTAAATTGCTTGATATCACTTTATTAGCTTCAGTTCCTTTTGTATATGTGGCAGCCGGTTATAGGGAACGCAGTTGAGATTGAAATCTAAATAAATATTAAAATAATATCTAAATCGATGTTTTTTTTATTTCAAGAGAAAAATTAGAATCTATAAATATGTACGAAGATATTTTGAAACTTGGAAAGATCAAATGAGTCATGGAAGAATATTTTCTTTTCTTTAGATAAAAATATGCTGAGTTTATTTTTATGATAGTGAGAACATGTCGGACGTCGAAATGGTAAAGAGAGAGAATACAGAATTTCGTTTTTAAATCACAATACATTTTTTCGAGCAGCGGGACGTGCAGGACATTAAAGTTTTAGAAAAAAATATTTTTCTTGAATTCTTTAGATTTTTTTCATAGCGGAGTATACAGGATATTGGAATTCCTAATAAAAGAAAAGGTTTCCTCCAGTCAATTCTATTTTCTCTTATTTTTTTACTCTTTTCTTTCACACTCCAATCTAAACTAAGATTTTCATGTCAATTGTGCTCATATGTACTAACTAGATATAAAACAACCAACAACAGTTGCAATTATGACCGGAAGAGCACTTGATGAAGATACATATCAACTTGTGTTTTCATACAATGATGATTTTTCTNCTTCGATGTTCAAAAGGATGGAAACAGTTCGGTGGTTCGTGTTATTATCCTTCACTCATGATCTCAACAGTTGACAAAGCCAATGAAACATGTCAGCGTGTTCAAGTCAATAACACACACTTGATGCGTATCAAACATGTTCCTGAATTGTCGTATGCTGCTCATTTGTACACCACCAATACACTGATCGAGTTGCTGGTCGAAGTTGATCCAGAACTGCTAAAAAGTATGAAGCGGCTGTCACTATGGAATGTTGTCGATTTTTAGCTGAATTGTCAGGTAAAGCGTTTGGGGATAGAATGTTGACCAATGAGCACAGAGATTGGCGAATGATGAAAGATCAATTCTACCGAGCACGAGTGAACAGTAAACATCACGACAAGTCTTCCAATCTGAGAAATACAATTATTACTAATGCGAGCAGTGAAAAGAATGATATGTTCGAACGACTGGGCCAGATTCGTGGTTTCTGTCATCAGTTCGCATGGAATGTATTGAGCAATGACTCACATTTGTTCGTCTTTTCCACCTATATATTATTAAACAAGACAATTTGTTCACTGAGTGACGTCGATCTGAATTCAACATATTCATTCGCTTGTCAATATGGTTCGTATTCTTCTTTTGCCCTGAAACGGAATAGCAAAGAATTACTTTTAAAATTTAGTGCTGGACTTTTGTTTCGAAAATGTCATGTGCGGAAAACATGGTAAATGTAATAATAATATTCAAGGTTTCAAATGTTCATGTTCGTTTTGGTTCGGTGGTATTCTCTGCGAAAAGCGTAAGATGAGTTGGTAGGTTTTGATGTGATAGAAACTGATTATTTCATTGATTTGAAAGTGGCATGGGAGACAATTCAAATGAGCATTGCTGCAGTTCTGATAGTCACTCTTACATTGATTCTGTTTACTTCTAAAGTTGTTCACAGTATAAAATCTATGATGAAACGTATCGCAAAGTGAGTTTTGGCCGCTATGTTTTCATAACAATGTTTTTATAGTTTGTGTAGATGTTGTAAATCACAAGGAGCTGATGTAAATAGGCCGAATGACAATAAAAATAGAACGAAAAAGTACGACACGACGAAAAAGTAAGATTTGAATTAGGACGAATTAATTTTCGAGAAGTTAGTTCTTGTAGAACAAAACTAAGACGACAACGTTCAATTGGAGTTTTTTTTCTTTTTCTTATCTTTTTCTGTCTGCTTATTATCATTCCAACTATTTTTCAATTACAAGCGTTTTCATTTGATGACATCGATCCAATGAAGCCTGATTTGTTGTTTGATAAAGTTTTATCAATATTCAAAACCTGCGAACGCAAAACTTTGCTACCAATGATTGATCGTATTTTCTTGGCAATTTCAGTCTTTCTCACTATCACCTTCTTCGTCCTACAACCGAAGCCAGCCGAAAATAGGTCCCCATCTAATAGCTTCGAATTGAAGGAAATTCGACCGACGAGAAACAATGTTGAAATGGTCACACTTTGCTCTCCACTACCTGCAGCAGCGGTTAATAACTTCGAACAACAACTTCTACTATCGGATCAATCACGTAATGACACCACTCGTCCAACTAATCGAAACGACCCTTTTTCGGGTACAACAACTCCGTTTCAACCGAAACTACCCTCATCTGGTGCATAAATACATATTTGTAACAAACTAATTCATTGAACTTTTCCAGGACTTCCATCACTTTGCTATCCAATTGATATCACAAATCGATATCAAATGGCTGCTATTTTTGGTATCCTTACATTCGAGATATTACTATTCTTCGATGAAGTTTTACTCGCGATCAGCGGCACATCGAATGATGGGGTAATGATTATATTTCTCAAACGGATATTTCTTGCCATTCTCATCGGGTTTGGGCTCGTCATCTTTTCCATCTAACTCATGTTTTCTTTCGAACTTTAGATTAAGATACTATCCACTACTGCTTGCACTACGTCTCCAACAAACCGTCGCTCAATTAATGGCTTTTATCTATGTGATTGGCATCATAGCACACACAATCTATCGCGAAAGCTTTTGTCTTGATTTTTTACCACATTCTGCGGATATTTCAACGCAAGAGGAAGTTCAGCTTCGTCTTGTAAGACATTGCTTGTTTGCAACAGAATGAACATGTTTGTTTTGCTTTAGCAAATCGGTACTTGGTTTATTGTTTACGGATTAGTTGCTCATTTGCCACATTTTATCTTACTTTCATATAGTGCTGCAGAATTTGGGATGCGTTTTGTCTTTACTTGTCGTGGTATATATCCAAAAGACTACGGTGTGTATATAAGTTTTTGATGATAAAAACGTTGAAAATTCGCTTTATTTGATAGAGAAAAAGTTTCATTTAAAGCCTATACAAGTATCCAACGACACACAAAATGATGATGGATGGTTTTTTTGATAAAATTTACAAATGGAATGATGATTTCTCGTTTACATCAATGTTTATTTCAACATACATAGTGAATTTTATCATTTTATATCATTTATCGTGCACATTTACTTTTCTCTATACGACACGATTGATGAGTCCGATCTCGTTCATAATCAATACGCTTGAACAGTTATTCAGTATCGGTTAGTGCTGATATACATATGTTTATTCAAAAATTATATTCTTTTTTACCCCTAGAAATCAACGACAAGTTCTTTCGTAAGGAAATCATCTTTAGTGTTTTTGTAACTACAGCGACCTACATTGGTCAACTGCTTCTTGGAATGAAAAGTTTTCGGGAACATATTTTAGCGTTTCACAAAGAAAAGGAAGAAATTGTAAACAAAATAGAAGAGATTGTAAAAGAAAACGAAACGATTTCGCGAGCAACTCAATATCCTGGTTATCTTATTCGATATACAGTTGGAGGTTTTGTCATTACTTTTCATTTGGTGATATTCGTTGCTGTCTTACCCCGTTTGTTTTGGTTTCATTCATCTTCATTCAAATGGATATTACAATTGATTTTACCTATATTGATTCTACATGCATTGCAGAAGCTAATGGCAAAATCCAGTACACGATTGATTGACGTTGCTCATGATAAGAGAAGCGATTACAAAAAGCTTTTCGTCAATATTGTACAATATTTTGTTTTAGTTGCTAGTAAGACACGCTCATGTGAAAGAAATCTCTAAGATGGGCCGGTGTTTTCATTTAGATTGCTTTATTGGTATCATGTCTTCAGTTATTCGTGTGATCATGGGATCAGTAGCCAACATTATATTCATAAATCGTGTCGATTTATGCCTTTTTCGGGATCCGTTGGAGAGAATGGGTATTTCTTGTATTGAAGAGTTGAAGCTTAATACAGGATTTTGGTAAGTTTAGATCGTGCGTACGTGGCGTACTTGCACTTTGTGCATGAAGAATATTATACAAAATATAAACATTCGGGTAAGTTGATTTTGGTGGATCAATGTGATTCTGTCCCATTTTTCGTTCTTTATGGACAAAGATGACAAACTGAAAATTCTTTTGTATATGTTTATTTAGATATACAAGTTGAACCCACTAACGAAGAGGAACTAGCCAACGAGCAATCTTCAGAACCCTTTCAATCAGAGCCAGACCAAACTGAGCAACCCTCTAACGAAGAACCTGCACCACATGTACAGGAAGCATTCGAAGTGTCCAGTACATTATCTGACGAAATTAGTGCTTCCATTTTGCCGATCTTCATTGAGAGGTCTGCATTGAGTGCAAGTGGTAACAGCCGTGACGTCAATGAGAGACAACTGCTTCTCCTTCAACGTTGGAATGAAATTAAGAACGAACGCGAGGAAAAGAAGCTAACTTCAGTTACGGCGGAGAGTCAACTCGGTAGAATTGAATGTAAACGAATTCCAATACATGGAGATGGTAACTGCTTTTTTCGTGCAATTTCTGCTCAATTGAATATCCGTCATAATCATCCGAATATTCGCTCCGAAGCGGTGAGATATCTCAACAGCAGGAGAGACCACTTCGCAGATTTTATTGTTGGGATTATCGCTCCGACGGTAGACATTTATATTAAAGAAATGACACACGATGGAGTTTATGCTGATCATCCGATAATTTTTGCTACAGCTACTGTCTTGGGTCAAAATATAGTTATTCATGAAATAGGCAAACGACCTCTGCTAATTCCCGGTTCGGATAATATCAACAATCAACTACATGTTTGGTATAATGGTATCCATTACGATAGCATCGTCACTTCTGAGGGTCATGTACCAAATATACCTCGAGAAAACCTTTTAACCTCATGATGATCAGGATTTGCTTCTGAGAATGTATTTACTTGGAAAATAAATAGTGATAGTCATGTGTGCATCTTTCAATTCGAATCATTTAAACAATCTCAAAGGGTTTCAGTATACGGAAGAGTACTTGTTCTTTATTCATAGCTTCGGTTAGGTAACATTTGATCATAGGAAAAGATAAGGAAAAGAAATTAATTATACACAACTTCTTCATATTGTGTAGAGAAACTGAGTGAAAATATCCATGTTCATCAGCTTTCAACTGAATTTGTCCTATTTGAGTCCAATGATTGGTTTGTAATATGCTTGTTTAAGTGAAAAATATTACACAGATGTATATAAAACGAGAGAAGTTTGATCAATATGATACAAATAATATTAACGCTATTTTAAAAGCTATTCGTCTTCTTCGTACACTTCGTTCATTAATCATTATTCAGACCAATCCACATGGTACTCGCTGACTTTATGTGCATTGATTCATCAACATACACAATTGCTTTTGGCCTAGACTTCTTCTTTTATCCGAATCGTTCACGAGAACTTCTTATCAAACGAAAAGTCGAAATGAGAAATATCGTATCCATGTCTAAGGATGGAAAAGTTCACACTTTCCATAGCTATTTATTTCCATTTACTTATTCTATGTGGACATCTTCTAACATTGCCCTTCATATGTCGCCTCGTTGATGACACACCCAATAATGAAGAATACAATTTTATGTTCGCAGTTAAAAGAATTCTAATTTCTTTAATGAATCCTCGCACATGCTGTAGGGCTCTTCATTTCGACACATTGTTGTCGAGCTGATTTGATTGGAATGAATCACCACAATGTCTCAAAGGCTGTACGATCGCATTAGGTACTGATCAGCAACTAAGCAAATGCTGTCGAACATATCAGAGAAGTACAGATGCGTCTGGATGACGATAAAGAACTGAAAGCATCCATTCAATTGTTGTTCCCAAGCGCGCTCTCGCTCGTTTTGACTTCTCAATTGACGATATGTTTACTCATTCTTGATAAATCCGTTTTAATGATAAATCGTAATGATCCATGCAAAAAAAATATGTGAATAAAAACTTGATCTAACCAAATGGTCCCTTATCTTGAATATATTTATAACCTTGAAGCAATATGCCTTTCTTTACATCAGTCGTTCTTCTAAATTTCAATCAAAATAGTACATGATGATCTTCTTCGTACTCATCATTAGTAATTTGCTCTACACAATACATAGTATTCCTCCATCATTACCCTCTCAATTATATGTTGTTCCATTTCGAATATTTTCCGAGGGAAATGCAGATGGCTCCGTCGATCGTCCTTACACATCAATCCAACAAGCACTTGATCATATCGATACGGACAGAAAACAACGAATAATAATTCATCTATATCCAACTTATCACTTCGTTAATACGATTACATTCACTGAACTACACAGTCGCATACGATTAACAACAATGAATAATGGAATCGCGTCTTTCTATGAAAAAATAGCCATTGACGATTCTGAATACTCTCGATTACCACATGCAAGTATCAGTGGTGGAATACCAATAACTGGATGGACAACAGCAGGTGGGAATATCTACACAGCTACTGTACCACAACCAATTTTTGTCAACCAACTATTTGCTAATAACCAACGTGTTAGTCGTACGCGTCTTCCACTGAATCAATCTTATTATTTTCAATATGCTGCGCCTTTACAAGATCCCAATCAAGCTCGATATGGTTTTCAGTATGATCGAGGTCAGTTTGAAGCTTGGCCGTTGGATGATGCCATGGTTGTTGTTTATCATAGTTGGACAACATCACATCATTATATTGATCGAATAGATACAACAAACAAAACGATATTTTTTACCAATCCATCGAATTCACCGATTGGAACATATGTTATTCAAGGACAACGGCGATTCCATGTCGAAAATCTTTGCATTTCATTCGTACCAAATTCATTTTGCTTTCTGAATGCAACCAAAACGATTTATCTGATGACCGATGGGTCATATGATCCAACAAAAGTACAAATCATCACACCTGTCGAAGAATTCGTAGTTATCATTGCCGGTACAGATGTGACCAATCCCGTCTCAGATATTATTATTGATAATGTTGTAATCGAACATAATGCATGGAATATCGCTCGAACTGAACAAGCGGATTATCAAGCAGCTTCATTTCTAACATCTGCTGCACTTTACATAGCAAATGCAACGTCAATTGTGATTTCCGATGTTCAGATTCGTCACACGGGCACCTACGGCGTTTGGATAAAAGAAGGAACGACGAACATTAACCTAATGAACTCTTTGATATCCGATACAGGTGCCGGCGGAGTTCGTGTTGGTCAAATGACAGCGCCGGTGACAACACCAACGAGTTCGATACAGATTCTATCGAATGAAATTAGTTATGGTGGAAATGTTTTCCCAAGTGGTGTTGGACTTCTGATTCATCGCGCCACGGATGTCGTTGCTGCCGACAACAGTATTCACCATCAACGATATACTGGTGTTTCCGTGGGATGGGAATGGGGTTACAATCCATCGTATACGAGCAATATTCTAATTCATAGTAATTATATTTATAATACAGGAGAACATATCCTTTGCGATCAAGGTGGAATTTACACACTTGGAATTCAACCAGGGACAGTGATATCAAACAATGTGATTAAAAATGTGTTTAGTTATGCTGCATACATGTGGGGGGTTTATTTAGATGAAGGCTCATCAGAAATTGTCGTTGCAAACAATGTCGTGTATAATATTGGATGGGCGGGTTTGTTTCAACATTATGGTGCTAATAATACAATTATTAATAATGTTTTTGCACGCACGTCATTGATTACTCCGCCACAACCCGATGATCCAATTCCGGATGGTGATCTTCGTATCATGTTAACTGAAAATCATTTATCGTGGAGATTCATAAATAACATTGTCTACGATACATACCAAGGAACTAATCATTCGATATTTAAATCGGATTCGTCAAACGTATCGGTTATTTTCAACAGCAATATTTATTATAATCCATTTCAAACGAAATTATTATTTGGAATTCAACAAACCTCCTTTGAGGAATGGCAAAAAACTGGACAAGACAGTAACAGTACGATTACAGATCCGTTATTTGTTGGTGATGTCAATCAATGCGACTTTTTCACTGTTCAATCAAATAGCCCAGCAGCGAAACTTGGATTTAAAAATATAACTAAGCTTCCGAAATGGAGTTTAGGATGTGGAATCGATAATTCCAACGAAAGCAGTAATCAATTTTATCATTGGTGAAAAAAGGAACTATTCTCGTCGTAGTTGTAGTTTCGTCCATTGCTTATATTTTTAGAATATCAATAAAACTTAGTTTCAGAAAAATGTGGTATTCTTATTTAGCTATTTTACCGGATCGAAATGTTATACTGTATTTAAATCATGTCCCAGCCTATGAGTGTCATGAGGATGAGCGGATTAAATTGCTTGATATCAGTTTATTAGCTTGGATTCCTTTTGTATATGTGGCACCCGGTTATAGGGAACGCAGTTGAGATTGAAATCTAAATCGATGTTTTTTATTTCAAGAAAAAAAGTAGAATCTATAAATATGTACGAAGATATTTTGAAATTTGGAAAGATCAATGAGAATTCTATACAATAGAGAAGAAAGATTGTAAATCATGAAAGAACATTTTCTTTTCTTTAGATAAAAAAATTATGCCGAATTTATTTTTATGATAGTGAGAACATGTCGGACATCGAAATGATAAAGAGCGAGAATACAGAATTTCATTTTTAAATCAATACATATTTTTTCGAGCAGCGGGACGTGTAGGGCATTAAAGTATTAGAAAAAAATATTTATTTTTCTTGAATTCACTAGGTTTTTTCATAGCGGAGTATACAGAATATTGAAATTCCTAATAAAAGAAAAGGTTTCCTCCAGTCAATTCTATTTTCTCTTATTTTTTTACTCTTTTCTTTCACACTCCAATCTAAACTAAGATTTTCATGTCAATTGTGCTCATATGTACTAGACGCAATTATTATACTTAAAATTTAATCAGGAATATATAGCAGCCGAATTTACCTTATTAGAATTATCTGCAGATGTCACTAATTTATGTAATACATGANAAAAGAAAAGGTTTCCTCCAGTCAATTCTATTTTCTCTTATTTTTTTACTCTTTTCTTTCACACTCCAATCTAAACTAAGATTTTCATGTCAATTGTGCTCATATGTACTAACTAGATATAAAACAACCAACAACAGTTGCAATTATGACCGGAAGAGCACTTGATGAAGATACATATCAACTTGTGTTTTCATACAATGATGATTTTTCTATGTTTTGTCATGCAGTAGATGTATTTATTATCGGTATAGAGTAATGAAAAGCTATCAACGATGCATATAAACGTTTTGCCACTTTATTATTTTTAGACTTGTATTGAGAGAAACCAGAAAATGTACAAAAAACAATTAAAGAAACTTTTGAATATATTGAATTGAGTCATCATCTTCAACGATGACTTGTATTCTTCGACACGAATATTTGAGGAAATTGTCTTTTGCTTTTGATAAATCACTCCTGGGCAAGAATAGCGACTCATGTTCTCTGCCATGCTTTCAATTATCAAGTGTTCATATCGCAAACAATTTCTTGTGTCACACATGTGAGAACCTATCAATGAAATAAGTTTTGATATTTTTGTATAAAAAGTTATTTTACCGGTTTTCTCGCAATTTTTCGACGTCATATTGGGAAGCTTCTTTTTCGATTTACAACGAAGGACCGCATGGTGGCACAACAAACCAACACTTTTGGTATCTTTGATGCTGCAGAAGTTTTTTAATTTTGGTTGAACACATTTTAATTGTGAAGAATCCTGGAGATGTATCAAAGGATAGCCATGGCTTGCGCTTCTACCAGCGGCTGTGACATAACAGGATAGCCATTTTTCGAAAAATTCTCCTATTCAAAACTAAACGATTTCAAAGAGTTAAATGATCATAAAGTGAGTTACCGTCTTCGGGCGTTACACTGATCAACCTGCTAAGTTCTTCTGTGATAATTTCATCGTCAAGATTGTTTGGATTAATTGTGAAGTCGCACTTGAATTTTCTATGAATATGAGCTTCCAGATCAGCAATCTCCGAGTTCGCTAGTTCATTTATAAATTGCATCGGATACGATAATTTGCGATCTAGCGAAGATGTCGATCGCTCAGTAAAAGTTTTTGAGTGAACGGTGAAGCGCTTGACGTTAGCCGATATTTTTCCTTCGAACGAAGATTGCGCATCTGACCAAATTTTTTCTGAAAAATGAAAAAGTGATCTTCTAATCTTTAGAAAAATAAATTTTCTGACCTTCAATGTTCTAACACAACATCCTGCTATCTCCTCAATTTCTTCCAATTGAGCATCACGTGGATTGCTTTTCCTCAAGAAACACGATTGAATATAATCGTTCCCAAATGCAGTAAACCTTCTAGATTTTGAATTATAATATGCAGAAGGTTTGCAATCTGCCATGAAGATACAAAAATAAAGATTTTCTACGAACAAAAAATTCGAACAAAGACAAAACAGTCGACGAACAATATGAAATTACACACAACATACATCACTATTTATAATATAATCCGAGCAATCACCCATATCCCCATAGATCTCTGTCCTGCTTAATTAATAACTATTCATTAACTTTCAATTCAATCAATCAATTAGCATTCGGCCCTCCGTACAAACAATGGCTGATTCAATCACAAAATATAACAATTTAGGCAGGACAGATCTATGAGAATATGGGTGATTGTTCTGATTATATTATAAATAGTGAGGTGTGTTGTGTGTAATTTCATATTGTTGGTCGACTGTTTTGTTTTCGTTTAAATATTTTCTCTCTTGGTATTGTATTGAATGGCGCCAACCAAGCGAAAAAGATCGCCTTCACCTGTCAAGACTGAACAGAAACCAAGAACACAAGCTTTTCTTGATCATCTATCTATGGATGAAGCAAAGGCGTGGCGGAATGAAATTATTAAGTGCGGTCGATATAAAAAATTAGTTAATCATCGTCATATTTCTTCAAATCTTAGTATCGACGAACTTGAATCAGCAACCAGTGCTGGATCTTTCAATGGTACTAATTTTTTTGTGCGTGGAAAAATATTGTATGTTTGTTTATTAGGAGCATATTTCATGAAATGGATGGAATGTGAAATTGAGGAAAATCTCTTGTGCGATCCTCCAGATGGTCATCCGCGTATAATGATTTGTAAAAACACCTCTTCATGGCCATCGATTGTAGAAAAATTATCAACATTCTGTTGGCAAAATTCGTCGCGAATGGCCATATACTGTCATCATATCACTTTACGGTCGATGAACGAAAAACCTTTACGGTTATTATGTAGTTCAACAGATGGAGAACAAGGTGTGATCCCATTCTTTTTGTGCTAGTCTTATAAATAGCTTTCTTGTTTCTATAGGTTCACATCTGTGTGATATTGTGGTGTGTGTATCGGTTAGTCATTTATTAGTTGAAACAGCAGGAAAAAACAGATCTCGACAATACTGCTTTGGTATTATGATGCGCATGCATCAAAACAATCTCGGTCATTTGTGTATTATTCAAGTGAAACCCTGCAAGCATGGAAGAGAACTGAACAATAGTTCCCTTTTCTGAAAGAAAGGGTTATACAGCGTTTAAATGCTGTGCTAAAAAGCTTAAAGTTTGTCTGTCTGTCTGTCCTATCCAATCAGAAATCAGCATTTCTAAAGTCAATGAAATTGATCGATCGCTGTTAGAAAATGATTACCGGTAGGGTAATCAAGGTCGGGGAACTTGAATCTGAGGTTAGATTTAACTAATTATTAACTATTAATTAACTAGCTTTCAACTAGACATAAATGATTAATATGCAGGGTAACCGTTGACCGGAGGGTAATCGGGGTCGAGGATCTCGAATCCGGTGTTTGTTTTTTTCATGAACACTTTCTGACCCGTTTTTTTTTGCGACAAAGGACCNAGCTTGCAGATCGTTGGCAGAAGGTCGTGGACAATGATGGTCTTTATTTTGAAGAATAGATGTTGTTTTTAAATAAATTCATGGATAAAAAAATCATTATTTTAACACGGCGCACGAACTTTTTCCTCAACCTAGTAGAATTATCTGCAGATGTCACTAATTTATATAATACATGAAAATGCATGCGTGTACAGGTGTTTTTTTTGTCCAATAGTAGCGTTGAGATGAATTTCAATTTTTCACAGACGCTAGCGAAAAAATTTTCTTTTACTCGTTCTGTGAGGACACAGCAATAACAAAAAAAAACAAGTAAATATTGACATCTATTTTTTATCGCAATTAGATGTCGAAACTAAGATGGAAAACTGCTTCATGTGTTGTTAAAAACACATTCTTGCTTATGTATTTAGATTTTTAGGGGTATATTTATTGTGAAGCACACCTTTTGTTTACATTACTATCTCAACCTGTTGAGGATGGCTACTGATCAAGAGGGAGATATTGTCGAATATTCAATGCGTGTTATGGATGTAGAAGGTGAATCGTCAGCTATGAACACATCTGTTGTCGAATATCAAAACGCGCCAAACGTTAAATATGAAGATATACCGATTACATCAATCGAAGAGGCCGTTGAGGCACTTGCTCCTCTTATACCGGACATACAAAGACGCACAGAGGAAATAAAAAGCAGATATCTTAATCCACCGTCTGATGGGTTGACATTGGACCAATCTGTTTCGATCAGACTTTATTCTACGCAATGGATGCCGCGTAATAAAAGCCTATATATTGTTTTGAATGCTACATTACGATCAAAGGATAAAGAAAAACTGAAGCCCTGGTTTCGGTACATAAAACTCTTTCTTACAGCACTCGAACAACTGCCAAAATATTCCCGCACTGTTTATCGTGGAGTCAAGGCAGATCTACACGCAGATTATCCTAAAGGAAAAGATATCGAATGGTGGGCATTTTCTTCATGTACCGACAGAATTGGTGTTTTGGAACATGAATCCTTTCTGGGTAAAACAGGAGAAAGAACGTTATTTAATATCGAATGTGTTTCAGCAAAAAATATCGAGAAGCATTCTGCTTTTGAAAAAGAAAACGAAGTACTATTACCTCCAGGTATTCAATTTGAGGTGATTGATTGTCTCCATCTGAATAATGGACTTTATATAATTCAATTACGCGAAAAACAAACAGCTCAGCCTCGCCTAGACTCTTTCCTGATGTCAAATTCCACAACCATTTCGGAAGGTAAGATGTCTGTGATTGTTTTAATAAAAACAGGACATGAGCAAAGTCAGTGGTGACATTGATATTGTGAACAAGGATCTTTTCATATAGTGTTTTCAGAAGTTCTTCAAAGAACATAGATAGAGATGCTCAATCACAGCAAGTCGCGCAAAATAGATGAGATCAATGGAACATCAATAAAAGAAAGTTTCCAAAAGTTTTTGACGCATTTTTTTAATGCACTGCGTAAACTATGAAAGTGCAGATAAAAATCATTTGCAACTACATGAGATAGTTCTGTATACTACTCAAGCGTTATATCGAGCCAGTGTTTTTTATCTACAGTGAAACCTCCGTAAGATGAACACCTATGGGACCGCACGAAAAGCGTTCATTATGAGAGGTGTTCATTATATAGAGGTTTGCAATCCATTGACAGGATACAGATGTAGAATACACAGTGAACACGACTGAATGGTATCTATGAGTTTTTTGTAGTACATTTCATCTAGTAAACGCGAAGTTAATCAAGTAGTGCTTCTTGATAAAAGAAATCCGGTGAATTGTGAAATTAATTGTTTTGTACAGTCTCATTAACCTTGTTCAGTTCGATGGGAACATGAACGAGTTTTAAACGTAGACGAGAGGTAAAATCGTAGTATTGTGATTGGTCGTTACTAATAGAAACATTAGGTTATCAAGATACTGCTAATATCTTGTTGACACCTTCAAGAGTGCCAATCTGCTTTCCCATCTTCTACCTTTTTTCTACAGTCGATTTAGTGCCTACTCTAATTAAGATCGAGAAAAAATTAATTAAAATGTTCGAAATATTCTCATCGCCTATTTTGTTTTCTGTGCAAGGCCACTTTCTATGTATAAAAAAAATCGTCAACAGACTGGACTAAATATTGTTTCAAAATATTTTCAACCTCTTTTTTCTCCTAAAAATGCATGTTACCGCAAATCTGTTCATTTCTTAGAGGTTTTCCTTGTCAAAGGGGCCGAAAAAAGCGTTCAATGTTCAGAGCTTGGAGGTGTTCATTAAGGGAGGTTCCACTCTGGCTAAAAATTTGTTTATTTGCATAAGTTTTCATGCTCTATCGAATGGACTGACTCAATTCACAAGTAACGCGGCTTAGTAGCCGCTAAACCCTCTACTGAAAGAATAGTATTAGAGTTAGAGCGCTACTATTCGTCCGAATAGTGAAAAAAGCTATTTCAGTTGAGCGATTTGATCTTTTGATAATTTGTCAGAATGTTTTACGCAGACTAAGTTCACTTCCTGAAGTCTTCTGAAATTATAACACCTAATCGTTTGTCGGCATCTCTCCGGTCGATCATTCACCGCTAGCCGTTGATACCTAATAAGTGTTTAATGATATTTTCATATTAAAAAGTACCTTGTTCTTGTTGAGTCCGTCTCTAGCAAATTTGCCAAAATTCTTCACAACTTCGTGACCTACAGTATATCTTTTCTTATCATTTTTACTTGAATGAGTTGGTGATCTACATAGCTTTTTCTCGAAGCTCGAAAGGACGTCGTATATATCTCATATCGAAGTTATAACTTCGATAGAAAGCTAACTTCGATACGACACATATATACCTTAGAAAAAATATGGGTACTATGCGACAATCTTATAAATCTCACTTTTCCGCTAATTTTCAGAAGAAGCATCTAGTCGTTCGTGGGTCTCCCTTCGGTCGGCTACTCACGGCTAGCTGTTCCCATGCGTACTCATTTTACTATCTTAACTTCATTCGTACGAAGACGCGTTCCGAAAATGAGCACATTTCGGAAAATCAATTCATAATCAAAAACTTATAAGCTTTACATAGCTATATGATTCTCTAGAAAAGGTTTCAATCTTCTCTCCACCAAGAGGAACCTTAAATAACTGTCACCTATGTTCGTGCAAAGCAACGATTAATTTCTGACCAAGAAACCTTAAAACTCTATAAAAATCGCAAAGTTTGTTCTTAAAAATATTATTCTGCAAATCGGCGACTAGTCACTCGTCGGCCACTCGCGGCTAGCCGTTACATGTACGTTTTCACTCTTCCATTTAGTCTAGAGTCACTTTTGAAACTAATTCATTCATTCATTCTCACCTATTCCCTCTTTAAAACTCACCCTCNTGATTGAGCCTCTCAAGTTGTTCAATAGACTCTAGCAAGTCTTTACAGAGTTGTGTAATTGGATTACAGATGTTTTTGTCTCTGATTCTTTCTCTCTTACTTTCATTAAGTCGCGACGAACTGAATGCGACGAAATGAATAGGCGACGAATTGAGAAGCGACGAAAAGAACGCGACGAAATGAGCGCGACGAAATGAGTGGCGACGAATTGATCGGTCACCAGTAATGAGGGTGAGTAAACTAGTTATGGACTCGACGAAACAGTGACAACGGAGATAAGTTGCATATTCGAAGGGAAAGCATTAACTTTTATAAAACTCGCTTATGGATATTTCATGACACTAGCTTTTATATTTTTTCTTGATTTTGACCAAAACATTTAACTGCGCCGTTGTAATTTTAGAAGAGATCATAGTCTCAGCGTCAAATGACCCTCAATTTTTGCGACACAAATCTTTCCAAAGTGCAACGTTAATATGGCTAGACCCCAACATTGATACATCCAAAGATGAGTGTCGAAAAGGAATTATGAAGCTCGAAACAGTTATGACCAAGATTAACATCTTCACTGACTTCGAAAAGTGCAAGCAATTTCTCGCCATCAACGACGAAACACGCGTATTTATAATCATATCCGGTGTGCTTGGCATGCACGTAGTACCACTTATTCATGATATGCATAAAATCCAAGTCATTTTTATTTTCTGTGGGAACAAAACGCGTTACGAACAATGGGCCAAAGACTGGCGTAAAATCAATGGTGTATTCACAGAGATGAAGTCACTCTGTCAAGCACTTAAACAAGCAGCACGATACTCTGAACAAAACGTTATGCCCATGAGTTTCGTTCAGTCTGGCAAGAGATTGGATCAATTGGATCCTTCTTTTATGTATACACAGATCATCAAAGAAATATTATTGAATATCAAGTTCACCGACGAACACGTCGACGATTATGCGAACTATTGTCGTGGACTCTTTGCGGACAATAAGGTAGAGTTGAGTAATATCAACAAATTTCAACGTGAATATCGCGAAAACTCACCAATATGGTGGTATACTTCTGGGCTTTTCCTACGTTCAATGCTAAATCGCGCTCTACAAGCAATGGATGGCGACATTATGACACGAATGGGTTTTTTTATCAGTGACCTCCATCGAAACATTGAAAAGGTGCAACAAGACCATCCCATTCACAATGTCTTTACCGTTTATCGTGGGCAAGGCTTGTCACAAGCAGACTTCGACCAACTCCGAACAACGAAAGGTGGCCTTATTTCCTTCAATAATTTTATGACGACAGATAGATCTCATCAAAATTCAATCAGCTTTGCGGAGTCAGCAGCAAGTAATCCAGACTTAGTTGGGGTGGTATTTGTAATGGAAATCGATCCTACTCAATCCACAACACCCTTCGCTCCTATTTATCAAATAAGTTATTTTCCAGAAGAAGATCAGGTGCTTTTTTCGATGCACACTGTATTTCGAATACAGAACATTAAATCAATAAGCGGAAACAAACATCTGTACGAGGTAGATTTGACACTTACCAGTGACAATGACGAAGAGCTAAGTGTACTTGCACAGCGAATCCGACAAGAGAGCTATCCAGAGAAGGAAGAATGGTACAGATTGGGTTTAGTATTAGCAAAGATGGGTCAAATTGACAAGGCTGAAGAGATATATAGGGTACTATTAAACAAAACGATGGAGGATAGTGAACAGTCCTTAATTTATAACAAACTCGGTATGATCAAGTATAACCAGGGCCAATACGAAAAAGCAATCAAATACTACGAAACATCGCTTGCCATCAATGACCGAGATCTTCCACCCAATCATCCTGATCTGGCATCATCCTACAGCAACATTGGCATGGTGTATTCTTCTATGGGTGACTACCCCAAAGCATTGGAATATTATGAAAAAGCCCTGTCTATTCGACAACAGTCGTTACCATCAAATCATCCTACTCTGGCATCATCTTACAACAGAATTGGCATGGCGTATTATTCTATGGGTGACTACCTCAAAGCATGGGGTTGTTATGAAAGGGCCTTGGCAACTCAACAAGAATCGTTATCGCCAAACCATCCTGATGTGGCATCATCCTACAACAACATTGGCATGGTGTATTATTCTATAGGTGACTACCGCAAAGCATTGGAGTATTATGAGAAGGCCTTGGCAATTCGACAACAGTCGTTACCACCAAATCATCCTGATCTGGCATTATCCTACAACAGCATTGGCATGGTGTATTCTGATATGGGTGACTACCGCAAAGCATTGGAGTATTATGAAAAGGCCTTGACAATTCAACAGCATTCTTTACCAGAAAATCATCCTGCTCTGGCATTATCCTACAACAGCATTGGCATGGTGTATTCTGATATGGGTGACTACCGCAAAGCATTGGAATATTATGAAAGGGCCTCGACAATTCAACAACAGTCGTTACCACCAAATCATCCTGATGTGGCATCATCCTACAACAATATTGGCATGGTGTATTCTGATATGGGTGACTACTCCAAGGCATTGGAATATTATGAAAGGGCCTCGACAATTCAACAACAGTCGTTACCGCCAAATCATCCTGATGTGGCATCATCCTACAACAACATTGGCATGGTGTATTCGTCTATGGGTAACTGTTCGAAAGCACTGACATGCTATGAAAATGCCCTCTCTATTCGACAACAGTCGTTGCCATCAAATCATCCTGATCTGGCATCATCTTACAACAACATTGGCATGGTGTATTCTGATATGGGTGAATATTCGAAAGCGCTGTCATACTATGAAAAAGCCCTCTCTATTCAACAACAGTCGTTACCATCAAATCATCCTGATCTGGCATCATCTTACAACAATATGGGTTTGTTGTATGAAAAAATGAGTGACTACTCAAAATCATTGTCATTTCTTGAACGCGCTCTGAAAATTGGTGAACAATCGCTACCTGCAGATCACCCACATGTGAAAGAATGGCGGGAGAGCTTTGAACGAGTGAAAAATAATCTATAAATTTTATCCTCTTCAATTAATAAATAAAGTAAAACTACTGAAAAGGAGTGTCACATGAGTGGACCCAAAGATATTTAGGTTCGATTAAGGCCTCGTTGGATGACGTTATTCTCCACAAATATGTACGGATATAAGTCAATTAGAATATTTTAGCCGCTAGACTTGTGCAGATCACTACTGGTATACTCATCTGGACAACAGTTCAGGAAGCTTCTCTCTCCTTCGGAATCATATCCTCAATTTATTAATGATCTTCAAAATAGGAAAATGTATTTATGATTTGAACCACATGACTTGGACTGACTGAGTATTGACTGAGTCAGGACCAATATAGATATTAAAAATACCCTCTTCCCAAACATAATTAAGGTTTGAGTCAAAAAATTTCAAGTCTTCTGTCGTGACGAGGAACGAAAGTTCTTGCCGTTCTCGAGCATGAAGAAAAACTTTTTGAAAATTTTTTAATTCCCGTACAGCACGCGTTACACTTGCAACGTGATCGCCAATATATAATTGAACAACTTCTTCGCCATCATACGAACCGTTATTACTCAAAAGAACACGAATTGTTAACTGATCTGAATCACCGTGAAGTTCAGTTTTATCAACATTCAGGGGGCCAAAACTGAATGTTGTGTAACTGAGACCCTAGCCGAATGGATACAAAGGATCGTTCGGTATATCCAAATAGCGACTCTGAAAGAAAAGAAAGGAAACAAAACTAACTTACACATGTTCATTTTTNTGCCATCAATGACCGAGATCTTTCACCCAATCATCCTGATCTGGCATTATCCTACAACAACATTGGCATGGTGTAGTCTTCTATGGGTGACTACTCCAAAGCATCGGAATATTATGAGAAGGCCTTGGATATTCGAGAACAGTCGATACCTTCAAATCATCCTGATGTGGCATCAACCTACAACAACATTGGTGCGGTGTATTCTTCTATGGGTGAATATTCGAAAGCAGCGGAATATTATGAGAAGGCATTGGCAATTCAACAACAGTCGTTACCATCAAATCATCCTGATCTGGCATCATCCTACAACAACATTGGCATGGTGTATTCTTCTATGGGTGACTACCGCAAAGCATTGGAGTATTATGAAAAGGCCTTGACAATTCGACAACAGTCGTTACCAGCAAATCATCCTGATCTGGCATTATCCTACAACAACATTGGTGCGGTGTATTCTGATATGGGTGACTACCGCAAAGCATTGGAGTATTATGAAAGAGCCTCGGAAATTCAAGAGCATTCATTACCATCAAATCATCCTGATCTGGCACCATCTTACAACAACATTGGCATGTGGTATTCTTCTATGGATGACTACCCCAAAGCATTGGAATATTATGAAAAGGCCTTGGCAATTCAACAAGAGTCGTTACCAGAAAATCATCCTGACCTGGGATCATCCTACAACAATATTGGTGCGGTGTATTCTGATATGGGTGACTACCGCAAAGCATTGGAGTATTATGAAAAGGCCTTGACAATTCGACAACAGTCGTTACCAGCAAATCATCCTGATCTGGCATCATCCTACAACAACATTGGTGCGGTGTATTCTGATATGGGTGACTACCGCAAAGCATTGGAGTATTATGAAAGAGCCTCGGAAATTCAAGAGCATTCATTACCATCAAATCATCCTGATCTGGCATTATCTTACAACAACATTGGCATGGCGTATTATTCTATGGGTGACTACCTCAAAGCATTGGGCTGTTATGAAAGGGCCTTGAAAATTCGGCAACAGTCGTTACCGCCAAATCATCCTGACCTGGGATCATCCTACAGCAACATTGGCATGGTGTATTCTTCTATGGGTGACTACTCCAAAGCATTGGAGTATTATGAAAAAGCTCTGTCTATTCGACAGCATTCTTTACCATCAAATCATCCTGATCTGGCATCATCTTACGACAATATGGGTTTGTTGTATGAAAAAATGAGCGACTACTCAAAATCATTGTCATTTCTTGAACGCGCTCTGAAAATTGGCGAACAATCGCTACCTGCAAATCACCCACATGTGAAAGAATGGAAGGAGAGCTTTGAACGAGTGAAAGATAAACTATAAATTTTATCCACTTCAATTTATAAATAAAGTAAAACTACTGAAAAGCAGTGTCACACGGGCGGACGCAAAGAGATTTAGGTTCGATTAAGGTTTCGCTCGATGACGTAATTGTCCACAGATATGTACGAATAGAAAGCAATTAGACTATTTTAGCCGCTAGACTTGTGCAGATCAGTACTGGTATACTCATCTGGACAACAGTTCAGAAAGCTTCTCTCTCCTTCGAAATCATATCCTCAATTTATTAATAATCTTCAAAATAGAAAAATGTATTTATGATTTGAACCACATGACTTGGACCGACTGAGTATTGACTGAGTCAGGACCAATATAGATATTGAAAATGCCCTCTTCCCAAACATAATTGAGGTTTGAGTCAAAAAATTTCAAGTCTTCTGTTGTGACGAGGAACGAAAGTTCTTGTCGTTCTCGAGCATGAAGAAAGATTTTTTGAAAATTTTTTAATTCCCGTACAGCACGCGTTACACTTGCAACGGGATCGCCGATGTATAATTGAACAACTTCTTCGCCATCGTACGAACCATTATTACTTAAAACAACACGAATCGTTAACTGATCTGAATCACCGTGAAGTTCAGTTTTATCAACATTCAGCGGGCCAAAACTGAATGTTGTGTAACTGAGACCGTAGCCGAATGGATACAAAGGATCGTTCGGTATATCCAAATATCGACTCTGAAAGAAAAGAAAGGAAACAAAACTAACTTACACATGTTCATTTTTACTTTATATCGATCGAGGAAATCACTAGAATTAAGGGGACCCCCCCTTTCCTGAGGGGAAAAAACTTTTTTTCGACTTTTCGTTTTTCATGTCAGAAGGTAGACCAAGGCCCGCTCTACTTCTGTTAAAAAAATCAGACCTCTCCCTGCCCGGAAAGTTTCCGAAAACCGGGCTTTCAGAGACCTATACACATAAAAATTTTTTTCCAAAAAGTGATTTTTTCTTTCTCATCTGACATTTTTAGAAACAGCTCAGGCAACTCGTATAATATTAATTAACCCCATTAATGAATAGTTAGTTAATAATTAGTTAATCAATTAAAACTAATCTCAGACTCGGGTTCTCCATGGAAAACTACCCATAGAACCACAAAACTATCAAAAATACTCACTTACAAACGAAAAAGAAAAATTTTCCACAACTTTCTCTTATTCTGCATTTTTCTCGAAACCATTTTTTTGGGTATCCAAAACTAGTTTTCCCCCTTTTTCTCCGCCATTTCAAGTCCGATCGGGCTGAAAATTTTTTTGGTGGGACTTCAACTTATTTGGGGGGTATTTATGTTTTTGTTTGTTAATAAGCCTGACCAAAGAAATTTGGTAGGATCGGGAAAATTTTTAGCATCCTGAAAAGCTAGCTTTTCCAGGGTGTCTTCAGTATTTGGATCTCCTGAAGTGATTTTAAGAATTTTTCAAAAAAAAGAACTATATACCCCAGGATTGGGGTCTACCATCTACAGTATAAATTTCAGCCGAAAATACTGAAATCTGTGGATTTTCGGGTCTTGGGACCTCCAGAAGTCCATGAAGACGGGGTCTGGGAACTTTACGCCCATGACAAATTTTGTTCTACTCATCGAGATCTATCTACCCTGAAACTTTCCTAAAATTTCGCTAGACCGTTCCTGAGAAACCCCGGAGAGGGGGCGGGGGTTCCCCAGAAAGGGGTGGGGTCCCCTTAAACGCACGGCCTGTGTTCTTGTGGTTATAATAGAGTGGGATTTGTCCAACTGAACGTGGAAATGTTGCTGTTATCTTTCCAGCAGGATTATAAAATCCAAAGAGTACTTCAGCGATAGCATTGCCTGTTTCTGTCCCCGCAAACCATGTTTCTAGAATTGCTGTGGCATACTGATCTTCCCACGTTAAAGTCAACGGTCGTCCATTCATCAAGACGATCACCACAGGTTTGCTGGCATTGAACAATGCTTGAAGTAAACGNCAAATATCGACTCTGAAAGAAAAGAAAGGAAACAAAACTAACTTACACATGTTCATTTTTACTTTATATCGATCGAGGAAATCACTAGAATTAAGGGGACCCCCCCTTTCCTGAGGGAAAAAGCTTTTTTTTCGACTTTTCGTTTTTCATGCCAGAAGGTAGACCAAGGCCCCCTCTACTTCTGTTAAAAAAATCAGACCTCTCCCTGCCCGGAAAGTTTCCGAAAACCGGGCTTTCAGAGACCTATACACATAAAAACTTTTTCCAAAAAGGGATTTCTTCTTTCTCATCTGACATTTTTCGAAACAGCTCAGGCAACTCGTATAATATTAATTAACCATTAATGAATAGTTAGTTAATAATTAGTTAATCAATTAAAACTAGTCTCAGACTCGGGTTCTCCATGAAAAACTACCAATAGAATCACAAAACTATCAAAAATACTCACTTACAAACGAGAAAGAAAAATTTTCCAAAACTTTTTCTTATTCTGCATTTTTCTCGAAACCATTTTTTTGGGCATCCAAAACTAGTTTTCCCCCTTTTTCTCCGCCATTTCAAGTCCGATCAGGCTGAAAACTTTTTTTGTGGGACTTCAACTTATTTGGGGGGTATTTATTTTTTCTTTTGTTCATAAGTCTGACCAAAAAAATTTGGCAGGATCTGGAAAATTTCTAGCATCCTGAAAAGCTAGCTTTTCCAGGGTGTCTTCAGTATTTTGGATCTCCTGAAGTGAGTTTTAAGAATTTTTCAAAAAAACATATATATATATATATATACCCTAGGATTGGGGTCTACCATCTACAGTATAAATTTCAGCCAAAATTCTGAAATCTATGGATTTTCGGAGGGAAAACTTTGGGTGATTTTTGGGTCTTGGGACCTCCAGAAGTCCATGAAGACGGGGTCTGGGAACTTTATGCCCATGGCAAATTTTGTTCTACTCGTCGAGATCTATCTACCCTGAAACTTTCCTAAAATTTCGCTCGACCGTTCGTGAGAAATCCCAGAAAGAGGGAGGGGGTCCCCGGAGACGGGGCGGGAGTTCCCCAGAAAGGGGTGGGGTCCCCTTGAAGGCACGGCCTGTGTTCTTGTGGTTATAATAGAGTGGTATTTGTCCAACTGAACGTGGAAATGTTGCTGTTATCTTTCCAGCAGGATTATAAAATCCAAAGAGTACTTCAGCGATAGCATTGCCTGTTTCTGTCCCCGCAAACCATGTTTCTAGAATTGCTGTGGCATACTGATCTTCCCACGTTAAAGTCAACGGTCGTCCATTCATCAAGACGATCACCACAGGTTTGCTGGCATTGAACAATGCTTGAAGTAAACGNATTTGTCCAACTGAACGTGGAAATGTTGCTGTTATCTTTCCAGCAGGATTATAAAATCCAAAGAGTACTTCAGCGATAGCATTGCCTGTTTCTGTCCCCGCAAACCATGTTTCTAGAATTGCTGTGGCATACTGATCTTCCCACGTTAAAGTCAACGGTCGTCCATTCATCAAGACGATCACCACAGGTTTGCTGGCATTGAACAATGCTTGAAGTAAACGTTGCTGACATACAGGTAGTCCAATATCAGCTCGACTCGCTGCTTCACCAGTCATACCTTGAGTTTCGCCAACGACAGCAACAATCACATCTGATTTGTGTGCCATTGCAAGCGCTTCGTCAATCATTTCTGCAGCTGTTCGATTATCCAAGACAATATCGCCACCGTAGGCATTTAATAATTTGAGCATCATTGGATCTTCAAGAAGATTTGCTCCTTTGGCATGTAAAACATGAATTTGACTTCCCACAAGTTGGTTTATACCTTCGAGAACACTTACCGATTGTCGCCAATCACCACCTCCACTCCATGCACCAAGTAAATTTCTATGATCATCGGCCAACGGTCCAATCAATGCGATCGTTAGATTCGATCGTGCTAACGGTAAGATTTGCTTATCATTTTTCAGGAGAACAAACGAACGACGAGCAAAATCTCTTGCAGCTAAACGATTCTCTTTGGTAAATATCTCCGTTTGGGCACGTGTTTCATTCACATAATGAAATGGATCGTCCAGCAAACCTAGTTTATATTTCGCTTCCAATATACGACGACATGCTTGATCAATTGTCTGCTCGGATACTTTTCCTTGCTGTACAGATTGATTCAATGTCGTTAAGAACGCATCACTACCCATATCCATATCGACGCCCGCATTGATCGATCGTGCGCTAACTTCTTGTAAATTACCGAGACCGTGAACAATCAGTTCGCTAATTGCTGTTGAATCTGTCACAACAAACCCAGTAAAATTCCATTGACCACGAAGTAAGTCCGTGAGTAACCATTGATTGGCTGTTGAAGGAACACCATTGATTTCATTGAATGATGTCATTACGCTACCAGCACCCGCATCAACAGCAGCACGATAAGGAGGAAGGTAAAATTCATACATTCGTATAGGACTCATATCGACCGTATTGTAGTCTCTGCCACTCTCAGCTGCACCATATAAACCGAAATGTTTGAAGCACGCCGCAACTGTATCGATACGGCTCAAATTGTTTGCCTGATATCCACGTACCATCGCGGCCGCTACCTGACTGCCTAACCAAGGATCTTCGCCAGCGCCCTCTAAAATTCTTCCCCACCGAGGATCATGTGCTATGTCAACCATGGGTGAAAACACCCAATTCAGAGCATCGGCGGTTGCTTCTATAGCTCCAATACGTGCACTGTGTTCAATTAATGTCATATTCCATGTCGCACTCATAGCTAATGGAATTGGAAAAACTGTTTTGTGTCCATGAATAACATCAAAACCGAAAATAAGAGGTATGTGAAGGCGAGAACTATTTATTGCAAGTTCCTGTAATATACGAGCCGCTTTTGGAGTATAAACACCCAGTACACCACCGACTTCACCACGTTGCAACTTCTCTCGTAATTCTTTACTGATAATTGGACCATCGTTATTAAATCCAACACCTTCGAGATTTAACTGACCAATTTTTTCATCTAATGTCATTTCAGATAAGAGTTTATCAACAATCGATTTCATACGTTGATTAGAATCGACCTTTGTTGTTAAAACAATCTGCCAATCTAGGACAATTTCTTCTGATGGGTGATGATCCGATGGTATAGGAATTCTTTTATGAATCGTTTGGTAACTTTGTGCTGTAACTCGTAAAAACATCTCCTGTTTGAAATCCGTTGTTAGATTGAAATAACCACGAGAATCTGTATAATGAACATCAGAACATGCTGATCGGTGATTCAACTGGAGGCAAATAATTTCAATCTTTGCATTATTTATACTTTTCTGACAATGCGTTGTATAATCTAATAAACGACCAGTAATCGTCATTCGACGAGCGGTTTTGATCGGAATTTGTTGAAATACAGTATCATCATTTAGCGTCAATTGACATTCATTCGTTCGTGCTTGCAATACAAAAGTCTGTATCACTATACTCAAAAATAGAAACGTTTTCATATTTGAATGTTTATATGAANTTTCAATCTTTGCATTATTTATACTTTTCTGACAATGCGTTGTATAATCTAATAAACGACCAGTAATCGTCATTCGACGAGCGGTTTTGATCGGAATTTGTTGAAATACAGTATCATCATTTAGCGTCAATTGACATTCATTCGTTCGTGCTTGCAATACAAAAGTCTGTATCACTATACTCAAAAATAGAAACGTTTTCATATTTGAATGTTTATATGAATGGTAAGACTATTATCATTATTATACGCTTTGCAAGTTTACTTGCGAGATAAATGAATGTGTCTTAGATAACAACAGGTAAAGTACATGATATACACAACAATGACAGAAGCAAAAAGCGAATACGTTCGCTACTTGAAATTTGTTTTGATAAAAGTCCATCTGTCCTCGTTTCTTTTCGTTCTTATCGCCTTCGAAAATGAAAATCTTGAAAAATCAGTATTTAAAATCGCTTCATCACTATAGCTAATACATTCGATAGTACTTTTTCCTTTTTCATGACTGAAAATAATCGATTTTGGATCGACGTTCTCCGTGACTATGATAGCGAACGGATCTTTCCATTACCATATGATCGGCATCCGATTCCGAATGAGAAACGATCTGATCAAGTTTGGTCGAGCACCTTCGAATTTGATTCAGAAATGTTACAAATAATTCATCAGCATGCCGAAGAACTGAATACCACAATCGAAAATTTACTTTTCAGTGTTTATTATATTTTCCTATTTAAATTAACAAACGGTGAGATGGATCTCTATGTCGGGCGAAATATTTCCATCGACCACAGCATTCCATTTTATCTTCGTATTGGCCCTACATGGAGTTTTGTTCAACTTCTCAAACAAGTTACTCAAATGTCAGCATGCACTAAACAACATGCCCATCTACCACTATCATCCATACACTCTCTCAAGCATCCATTGAAATTTCCTGTTGTCTTCTATTATGGTAGACAATTACTCCAACAGAGCCCATCCGATCTTTCATTGTGTATTGTTCACGATGAACAGCTCAACACTCTTCAATATCAAGTCCATGCATCAGCTCACCTTTTCGATCAATCGACAACACAACAGCTATCTCAACGATTTCAACGCCTCACCCATCAACTATTTACTTCCTTCGATCTCAACATCCAACCCATCTATCAGCTTTNGTTAGATTGAAGTAACCACGAGAATCTGTATAATGAACATCAGAACATACTGATCGGTGATTCAACTGGAGGCAAATAATTTCAATCTTTGCATTATTTATACTTTTCTGACAATGCGTTGTATAATCTAATAAACGACCAGTAATCGTCATTCGACGAGCGGTTTTGATCGGAATTTGTTGAAATACAGTATCATCATTGGGCGTCAATTGACACTCATTCGTTCGTGCTTGCAATACAAAAGTCTGTACCACTATACTCAAAAATAGAAACGTTTTCATATTTGAATGTTTATATGAATGGTAAGACTATTATCATTATTATACGTTTTGCAAGTTTACTTGCGAGATAAATCAATGTGTCTTAGATAACAACAGGTAAAGTGCATGATATACACAACAATGACAGAAGCAAAAAGCGAATACGTTCGCTACTTGAAATTTGTTTTGATAAAAGTCCATCTGTCTTGGTTTCTTTTCGTTCTTATCGCCCTCGAAAATGAAAATCTTGAAAAATCAGTATTTAAAATCGCTTCATCACTATATCTAATACATTCGATAGCACTTTTTTCCTTTTTCATGACTGAAAATAATCGATTTTGGATCAACATTCTCCGTGACTATGATAGCGAACGGATCTTTCCATTACCATATGATCGGCATCCGATTCCGAATGAGAAACGATCTGATCAAATTTGGTCGAGCACCTTCGAATTTGATTCCGAGATGTTACAAATAATTCATCAGCATGCCGAAGAACTGAATACCACAATCGAAAACTTACTTTTCAGTTCTTATTATATTTTCCTATTCAAATTAACAAACGGTGAGATGGATCTATATGTCGGGCGGAATATTTCCATCGACCACCGCATTCCATTTTATCTTCGTATTGGCCCTACTTGGAGTTTTGCTCAACTTCTCAAACAAGTAACTCAAATGTCAGCATGCACTAAACAACATGCCCATCTACCACTATCATCCATACACTCTCTCAAGCATCCATTGAAATTTCCTGTTGTTTTCTATTATGGTAGACAATTACTCCAACAGAGTCCATCCGATCTTTCTTTGTGTATTGTTCACGATGAACAGCTCAACACTCTTCGATATCAAGTCCATGCATCAGCTCACGTTTTCGATCAATCGACAACACAACAGCTATCTCAACGATTTCAATGCCTCTTCCATCAACTATTCACTTCCTTCGATCTCAACATCCAACCCATCTATCAGCTTTCCATCATTCTACCTCATGAACATGCCCTTCTCAAACACTTTCACCCCCTACAAACTCACTCTCAAAAGCCCACTTCGACAACAATCCCACACCTGTTCATTCAACAAGCCATAAAAAATCCTCACAAGACAGCTGTCACACTTGATCACTCATCTCTCACCTATTCTCAACTACTCTCTCAAGCCAATCAGCTCGCTCACACTCTTATCGATGACCATCACATCAGCGAAGGTGACATCGTCTGTCAATGTATGCATCGAAGTATCGACATGGTCATCGGCATTCTGGCCATCATGATGGCAGGTGCCATCTATGTTCCACTCAATCCATCCGACTCATCTCATCGACTCGACTCTCTCATCCAACAAATCAAACCAAAACTGGTTCTTCGTCGCCTTCCTCACACCGGACACCCGTATGAACAGTCACCTCAGTTGTCAATAACGGGTGAATCGATCGCACACATCATCTTCACATCGGGATCCACTGGTAGTCCGAAAGGTGTGCAGATTCGACATCGAAACTTTGTTTCCTACATGGAAACACATCAGTTCGATGACAAGGATATCATTCTACAGTTGGCCAACTGTTCATTTGATGTTCATGTGGACGAGATCGTGAGTGCACTCTGTCGAGGTGCACATCTTGTTCTGCTTCGACACGGTGGTCACCTTGACTTCGACTATCTGACGAGTGTCATCGCTGAGCGTCAGGTGACGTTCATCGCCCCCGTGCCATCGTGGATCGATGGTCTGTGTGGATATCTTCGAGAGAATTCGCATGCGTGTGATAGAATGAGATCGATTCGTTGGTGGTTTATTGGTGGTGAACAACTGCTAAGCTCAACGATTCGACAGCTGTTACCATTTATTGATGAAGAATGTCATCTGTTGAACACCTATGGTCCTGCCGAGATCACGGAAACGGCCACATGTTATGAAGTGAATCGTGATGAGGTGAGTGAGATGATATCGATTCCGATCGGTCGTCCGTTGAGTGGTTATCGGGTGTTCGTTGTTGATGAATATGGACAGGAAGTGGTGCCTGGTGAGCAAGGTGAAATAGTGGTGGGAGGTGTGGGTGTGTTTGGTGGATACTATGGGCGAGAAGAGTTGAGTAAGGAGGTGATGATGGAAGTGGAAGGTGATCTGTGTTATAAGACGGGTGATTATGGTCGAATGGAGGTGAAGAGCGGTGAGTTGAAGTTTGTTGGAAGAAAAGACTTTCAGATCAAACTTCGAGGACAACGGATCGAACTCGGTCATATCGAACATACAATACTAAGATTTTCATCATTCATATCAAACTGCATCGTGATGAAAGCTATGTATCACGAACAAGAGCATCTAGTTGCTTATGTGGAAACGACAGTAACTGCAGTGAATGAAGATAGTTTACGCGAAAATTGCTCATTGACCTTGGCGTCCTATATGGTTCCATCATTATTCATAATTTTACAAAAGTTTCCGTTGTCATTGAACGGAAAAGTTGACCGGAAATCGCTTCCATCGCCTGACTTTGCCCTCCTAACACAATTGGTTGACGCAGATGCGGAAGCAATGAATCCAATGGAAGTACGTGTGCATCGATTGTGGTGTAAGGTTTTCTACCTGCCGAAAATTCCTGCCAACAGTTCTTTCTTTTCTCTACACGGTACATCTTTATTATTTATGAAATTATACAATTTATATCAAACTGAATTTGGTATCGCTCCGGATATAGTGACATGTCTACAGCAACCACATATCAATGAACATGCTCGACTTTTGACAGATTTAATCAGTTCAACTTTAAATCCACGTTATGAACCATGGTCCAGCTTGCATGTTGATCAAGGTAAAACGATCCAATATGGAACGTAAATTGATTTGCTTTGTTTTAGGCGCTGTATCATTCGCTCAATCGCGAATATATCTCGATGAACAAATCCGTTTTCAATCATCGAATAAGACGACGACAGCAATCTATAACCTCCCTCTTCTATGTCGTTTGTCACAATCGTTTATCTCAATTATCCGTCTCCGAGAAACTCTGCAGGAAATCACTGAAAAACATGATGTTCTCCGCACATCTATACAATTCGACTCCGCAACTGGTCATCTAAAACAATCAGTTCTACCCACTTCTCTCCAGGATTGCTTTACTTTTAAAATGAGTATCATCGATGATGCTGATGAATTAAAAACAATTTTTAATGATGAATTGACCAATCGGAATTATTTTGATATTGAACGTGGACGAGTTTTTCGGTGTCATATCATTCGCCAACGTTCGACAATGTGCAACGACGCCGACTTGCTGTCGATCGGAGATTGGATTATTTTCAATTTTCATCATATCGCCTTTGATGGAGAATCCGAACAGATCTTTCTCGACGATTTCCATCAACTTTACAGTCGTCAACAGCACAAACAAGAATTACTACAATACATTGACTGTAAGTTATCGTTATTATACATAATAGAAATCGTCCTTTTCAATCTTTTCTCTCAGTGGACGAAAATGAATATATACCATATTAAGGACTAGTTTCTCTTTTGCGCATATCTTGTGTTCATATAGTATAGTATGTACAATTTTAGACTCCATGCATGAAAGGCAAATCGACATGACGGCAGCTAAACTGTATTGGCGTCGAATGCTAAAGGACTATGATATTATGAAATCGAAGATTTTACCAAGAAATCAAAAGACATCATCTGGCGATGGCCTTGCAAGTGAAATACTTTTAACTAATGATATTGTTAAACAACTCATCGATTACGCTTCTTCGCACAATGCTACTCTGTATCAGGTATGTCTAACACTTTACTATGTGTTCTTACACAAACTAACTGGTGGTCAACGCGATATCCTTATTGGTATCGTACAAGCCAATCGATATCGTCCGGAACTGCGTCGTATTATTGGTATGTTCGTCAATACATTACCGATAGTTATCCGTATCGATCCGTGCGATACATTTGATCAAGTACTTTCGAAAGTGAAAACTGTGATTTTTGAATCACAACCGTATTCAAACTTACCTTATCAAGATATCATTGAGGAACTATACACGAAACGATTTCATGAACATAATGTCGTTCAGACGATGTTTACTTTGAATGATTATGACATAACAAAATCTCGTTCCAGTCAAACGCCGAGCATTGAACCTTACTCCATCTATGATTTATTTGGAGTACCAATGAACGTGCCTGCTATGTTCGACATGGAATTGTCAATGGAATATGTCACCACAACACAATCCTTAAGAGCGAATCTCATCGTGTCCAGTGATCTTTTCGATTCATCAGGACTGACCAAAATGGCAGGGCAATTTCAGGTGCTTGTCGAGCAATTGTTTCCACCCATACCTATAAGCATATCACCCATAATACCATCAATCTGTGACCTATCGATAATCTTACCAGAAGAAATTCTTCCGTGTGATTCAGCGAAAACAAACCATTATAACGACTGTGATTTGAAAATAGATATTTGTCTTCTATCATTCGTCTATCAAATTACCAATGGATACCTTTCCATTGAGCGTCTTCGACGCGCTCTTCAATATATGACTCTCAAACACAATCTCTTTCGAAAATATCCGTTTAAATCTGTAGATGTTCAAATCGACATCTTCGATATGTTTTCTCATACTTCGTATTCAAACAATACCAACGATTGTATCTTTCATGTTCATGTATTTAAACATGAGAGCATCAACGCAGATCTTCTCGCAGAACAAGATGTTGTTATTTTTAATTTCCATCCCTGCATTGTCGATGTATTCTCAATGAACATCTTCTGTCAAGACCTTTTGCTTGCATATGAATGTGAAACAGCACTGACTACGAATAGCACAGTTGGACATACTTTTTGGAATGAAATCATGTTTGATTACCACTGGAAACCATTGTTTAACTCAACAAATGACAAAGCTACTGATTGTGTTTTTACCGCTGATGCCATATTGGATGCTGATCTTACACAGATGATCCTGAGCTATGTTTCAACTTCAAAAACATCGCTAATGCATCTATTGCTAACATGTTACTATATATTTCTCTTCAAACTCGTTCCTGATCAAACTGACTTTTGTATTGGAGTATCAGCTGATAATCAATTCCATCAAATTCCACTGCGCTTTCACCTCAATCCAAGCAAAAGCTTTCAGTCTTCTCTACAACGAATCACTACGCTCTATCGAAAAAGTTTACAATATGCCATGCATATTGCTCAACAATTTGCACCACCGCCATCCACTTATTTAGACATCGTTTTCAATTTCAAGACTAATTCTAACGGAAAACACAGTTTTAATACAATTCGATTTCCAAATGCCCAACTACAACAAATCCCTCATCTTTCACATCAAACTAAAGGCTTTGATAATCACCTTGTTTCATCAAAATTTGATTTCTCTTTAACATTCATTCATGATGAGCAGCTTAACACTCTTCAATATCAAGTCCATGCATCAGCTCACCTTTTCGATCAATCGACAACACAACAGCTATCTCAACGATTTCAACGCCTCACCCATCAACTATTTACTTCCTTCGATCTCAACATCCAACCCATCTATCAGCTTTCCATCATCTTACCTCACGAACATGCCCTTCTCAAACACTTTCACCCCCTACAAACTCACTCTCCACAGACCACTTCGACNATAAGACGGGTGATTATGGTCGAATGGAGGTGAAGAGCGGTGAGTTGAAGTTTGTTGGAAGAAAAGACTTTCAGATCAAACTTCGAGGACAACGGATCGAACTCGGTCATATCGAACATACGATACTAAGATTTTCATCGTTCATATCAAACTGCGTCGTGATGAAAGCTATCTATCACGAACAAGAGCATCTAGTTGCTTACGTGGAAACAACAGTAACTGGAGTGAATGAAGATAGTTTACGTGAAAATTGCTCATTGACCTTGGCGTCCTATATGGTTCCATCATTATTCATAATTCTACAAAAGTTTCCCTTGTCATTGAACGGAAAAGTTGACCGGAAATCGCTTCCATCGCCTGACTTTGCTCTGCTAACAAAATTGGTTGACGCAGATGCGGAAGCAAGGAATCCAATGGAAGTACGTGTGCATCGATTGTGGTGTAAGGTTTTCTATCTGCCGAAAATACCTGCCAACAGTTCTTTCTTTTCTCTACACGGTACATCCTTATTATTTATGAAATTATACAATTTATATCAAACTGAATTTGGTATGGCGCCGGATATAGTGACATGTCTACAGCAGCCACATATCAATGAACATGCTCGACTTTTGACAGATTTAATCAATTCAACTTTAAATCCACGTTATGAACCATGGTCCAGCTTGCATGTTGATCAAGGTAAAACGGTCCAATATGGAACGTAAATCGATTTACTTTGTTTTAGGCGATGTATCATTTGCTCAATCGCGAATATATCTCGATGAACAAATTCGTTTTCAATCATCGGATAAGACGACGACAGCAATCTATAACCTCCCTCTTCTATGTCGTTTGTCACAATCATTTATCTCGATTATCCGTCTCCGAGAAACTCTGCAGGAAATCACCGAAAAACATGCTGTTCTCCGCACATCTATACAATTCGACTCTGAAACTGGTCATTTAAAACAATCAGTTCTACCCACTTCTCTCCAGGATTGCTTTACTTTTGAAATGAGTATCATCGATAATGCTGATGAACTAAAAGCAATTTTCAATGATGAATTAACCAGTCGGAATTATTTTGATATTGAACGTGGACGAGTTTTTCGATGTCATATCATTCGCCAACGTTCGACGATGTGCAACAACGCCGACTTGCTGTCGATCGGAGATTGGATTATTTTCAATTTTCATCATATCGCCTTTGATGGAGAATCCGAACAAATCTTTCTCGACGATTTCCATCAATTTTACAATCGACAACAGCACAAACAAGAATTACTACAATACATTGACTGTAAGTTATCGTTATTATACATCATAGAAAGCGTCCTTCGATCTTTCTTCCCAGTGAACCAAAGTGAATATATACCATATTCAGGACTAGTTTCTCTTTTGCGCATCTCTTGTGTCCATATAATATAGTATGTACAATTTTAGACTCCATGCATGAGAGGCAAATCAATATGACGGCAGCTAAACTGTATTGGCGTCGAATGCTAAAGAACTATGATATTATGAAATCGAAGATTTTACCAATAAATCAAAAGACATCATCTGGTGATGGTCTTGCAATTGAAATACTTTTAACTAATGATATTGTTAAACAACTCATCGAATACGCTTCTTCGTGCAATGCTACTCTGTATCAGGTATGTCTGACACTTTACTATGTGTTCTTACACAAACTAACTGGTGGTCAACGCGATATCCTTATTGGTATCGTACAAGCCAATCGATATCGTCCGGAACTTCGCCGTATTATTGGTATGTTCGTCAATACATTACCGATAGTTATCCGGATCGATCCGTGCGATACATTTGATCAAGTACTTTCGAAAGTGAAAACTGTGATTTTTGAATCACAACCGTATTCGAACTTACCCTATCAAGATATCATTGAGCAACTATACATGAAACGAGTTCATGAACGTAATGTCGTTCAGACGATGTTTACTTTGAATGACTATGACATAACAAAATCTCGTTCCAGTCAAACGCCGATCGTTGAACCTCATTCCATCTATGATTTATTTGGAGTGCCAATGAATGTGCCTGCTATGTTCGACATGGAATTGTCAATGGAATATATCACCAAAACACAATCCTTAAGAGCGAATCTCATTGTTTCCAGTGATCTTTTCGATTCATCAGCACTGACCAAAATGGCTGGACAATTTCAACTACTTGTCGAGCAATTGTTTCCACCCATACCTATAGGCATATCGCCCATAATATCATCAATCTGTGATCTATCGATAATCTTACCAGAAGAAATTCTTCCGTGTGATTCAGCAAAAACAAACGGTTTTAACGACTGTGATTTGAAAATGAATATTCGTCTTCTATCATTCGTCTATCAAATTACCAATGGATACCTTTCCATTGAGCGTCTTCGACGTGCTCTTCAATATATGACTCTCAAACACAATCTCTTTCGAAAATATCCATTTAAATCTATAGATGTTCAAATTGATATCTTCGATATGTTTTCTCATATTTCGTATTCAAACAATACCAACGAATGTATTTTTCATGTTCATGTATTTAAACATGAGAGCATCAACGCAGATCTTCTCGCAGAACAAGATGTTATTATTTTTAATTTCCATCCCTGCATTGTCCATGTATTCTCAATGAACATCTTCTGTCAAGACCTTTTGCTTGCATATGAATGTGAAACAACACTGACTACGAATAGCACAGTTGGATATGCTTTTTGGAATGAAATCATGTTTGATTACCACTGGAAACCATTGTTTAACTCAACAAAAGACAAAGCTACTGATTGTGTTTTTACCGCTGGTGCCATATTGGATGCTGATCTTACACAGATGATTCTGAGCTATGTTTCAACTTCAAAAACATCGCTATTGCATGTATTGCTAACATGTTACTATATATTTCTCTTCAAACTCGTTCCTGATCAAACTGACTTTTGTATTGGAGTATCAGCTGATAATCAATTCCATCAAATTCCACTGCGCTTTCATCTCAATCCAAGGAAAAGCTTTCATTCCTCTTTACAACGAATCACTACGCTCTATCAAAAAAGTTTACAATATGCCATGCATATTGCTCCACAGTTTGCACCACCACCATCCACTTATTTAGACATCGTTTTCAATTTCAAGGCTAATTCTAACGGAAAACACAGTTTTAATACAATTCGATTTCCAAATGCTCAACTACAACAAATCCCTCATCTTTCACATCAAAATGAAGGCTTTGATAATCACCTTGTTTCATCAAAATTTGATTTCTCTTTAACATTCATTCATGATGAGCAGCTCAACACTCTCCAATATCAAGTCCATGCATCAGCTCATGTTTTCGATCAATCGACAACACAACAGCTATCTCAACGATTTCAACGCCTCACCCATCAACTATTTACTTCCTTCGATCTCAACATCCAACCCATCTATCAGCTTTCCATCATTCTACCTCATGAACATGCCCTTCTCAAACACTTTCACCCCCTACAAACTCACTCTCAAAAGCCCACTTCGACAACAATCCCACACCTGTTCATTCAACAAGCCATAAAAAATCCTCNAATGTCATCTGTTGAATACGTATGGTCCTGCCGAGATCACGGAAACGGCGACATGTTATGAAGTGAATCGTGATGAAGTGAGTGAGATGATATCGATTCCGATTGGTCGTCCGTTGAGTGGTTATCGGGTGTTCGTTGTTGATGAATATGGACAGGAAGTGGTGCCTGGTGAGCAAGGTGAAATAGTGGTGGGAGGTGTGGGTGTGTTTGGTGGATACTATGGGCGAGAAGAGTTGAGTAAGGAGGTGATGATGGAAGTGGAAGGTGATCTGTGTTATAAGACGGGTGATTATGGTCGAATAGAGGTGAAGAACGGTGAGTTGAAGTTTGTTGGAAGAAAAGACTTTCAGATCAAACTTCGAGGACAACGGATCGAATTATCCATGATCGAATCGATTATTCTACAATCATCAGGTGATGTTTTGAATTGTGTAGTCATTAAAGAAGATTCACCAAACGACAGCTATTTATGCGCTTACATAAAAATAAAAGAATGTTTAAACAAAAAGAATATCGAAGACATAGTAGTAAGATATTGTCGCAATCAATTGGCTTCGTACATGACACCGTCGAAATGGTACTTTGTACCTGACCTACCGTTAAATGCGAATGGTAAAATTGATCGACAAAAGTTGTCATCTGTTTCTGAAGTTACTGATTTCACATCTGCTTCTGCGCCAACCATGCAATTGTCACCTTTGGAAAAGAAACTCGAAGATATATTTATTCGTTCGTTTGGTTTGAAGACTCTGCCCGACGTATCAAAATCGTTTGGAGAATTAGGTGGAACATCTTTGGGGGCGATGCACGCATTGATTCTGATTCGACAAGAAATATATGAGCAGATGGATATTAGTCTTCTCTTTGCAAATCCGTCCATACGTCAGTTGGCTACAGTATTAGAACCTCTTTTAACAAGACGTTCGAAATTCGTTGAAATGGCGAAAGAAGATGAGGAGAACTTTTCCATTCGGCCTATATCATCATGGGTGATTGAAACACTAGGTATTCTTTTACTTGCGTGGCTGTGGATATGGCCATTCTATGCCATTGCTCACTTGGATATTTATTTTTTTCGTTTGTTCTTAATTCCTTTGATACATTTATTACAATATCCTTTATGTATTACACTGCTGCGTGGATCAGTTTTACGTGGTCGTGATGCTCTATATTCATGTAAGTATTATCGCTTATGGTTCTTACGGCATCAATGGTCTCTGACTAGATACTGGTTAGGATACTTATATGGAACTCGATTTTATAACATTTACCTTCGTCTATGTGGAGCGCGTGTTAGTAATCGAGCTCATATCTATACTAGTTATATTGATGCACCTTGGCTAATTGAAATAGGCGATTTTAGCTACATTGGTGAAGAAGTCGTTCTCTCATCGATTAGCTATCATGATCGTATTTGTGAATTGCATGAAATTCACATTGGATCGTATTGTTCAGTTGCAGCAAGAAGCGTTTTACATGATCGAGTCGACATGCATGATAGAGTATATGTAGCGCCATTAACATCAATCACCGGTCGAGTTCTTAGCAATGACGAAACTGTTGTCGAATCCTCAAGTGCATCGCATCTCGATTATTCGATACCTCAACTGATTATGATTCTACTACTAATATCTATACATTCGTTGGTTGTAGAGATCAGCTGGTATATAATAGCTAGGATATCAGTATGCTGGTTTAGTTGGTTGATTGTTAATGCAAGTGTTGGCTTGCTTCTCCTTCGTTTCCTCGTGGGTAACGTGGAAGAAAACTTCTCTCACTCGATAAACTCCTGGCCATTTTTTCGTCGATTTTGGTTGCGTCGTCTGGTTATCCATTCGTTCCATCCATGTTTCTCAACTATTTTTGATGGATTCAATTCTTTGACTCCGCGAATTCTTCGTTGGTTGGGCGCCACGATTGATAATCGAAATATTGAAATAGCAGATTTCGTTCCACTTCTTTCGATTCCCTCAAATCTTCTAACAATTCAATCAGATGTGACAACAACATCTGAGATTTGTTTTGTGCCGTATGATATTACAATTAATAGTCAATGTATCGTTAATGGTCGAACTCAAATAAATCGTGGGGTTTTTCTTGGAAACAACTCTCTTCTTCAATCAGGCCTTTCTATTCCCGACAATGTTTTGACTGGATCGTTGACACGACTTGATTCTAAAACAATTATGCACGCTGGTGACATTCTTCTAGGTGTTCCTGCTCAACCAATGCCATTCACTTTATCATATGCCAACGAAACACGGAAGGTTTCCAATGATTTTCAACGAATAGCCTGCGAACTCACCTATTTCGTTTTACTTGATCTTTTATTGGATACATTCGTCACATCCAATATTCTTCGATTCCTGCTAACGGTGCCGATATTTATGGTAATCCATTCGTTTACTATTTGTATAGTGTACTTCTATTTAATGAAGAATTCTACTTCGACGATAACACTAGCAATGATACTTTATTCTCAGTACACGAAATACACTGGGCAGCTTTTAGGTGGCACACAGTGGCTCGTTTTTCTTCTTCGTCGATTTGGTGCACAGATTGGCAATGATGTTATTATTGATGAAATGAATTCCTTATACGATGTTCATTTAATCACGATCGGTGATCACGCTCGTTTATCATCGACATGTCAAATACAGGTAGGAAATTTCCTTTTATAACATCGTCTCGTCGCATTTTTTTGTATAAAAATATAGTGCCATACATTTGAGCATCGTCATCTGAAACTTCGTCCGGTCAACATTGGTTCGAATTGCATTATCAAAGAGATGGCATTCGTGTTACCCGGTGTTGAATTTCACGGTCATAATTACTTGTATCCATGTTCACTTGCTTTACCACATGATCAGTTTCTACGTCATACAGATTGGTGTGGATCACCAACAAAACGCTTGATTGTTCATTATGGAATAGAACCACCACGGTTCATTCTTGCTAAACAGCAATCATCCATTGATAAATACGATGTTATTGTTGCACGCACCGATGATGACATTCTCACCCTTTATTTTGGAGACAATGGCTGGATGAGCTGGCAGTCTGGACTTAATTTACGACAACCCTATCGGCCAAACGACATTTACATTCGCCTGTTCTTTACAGCTTTCTTATGTAATACTACGCCGAAACGTATTCTGGCTGTTGGTCTGGGAGGTGGAATATGGCCGCTACTAATTCGACACTATTTTTCTGCAGTTATTATTGATGTTGTTGAAATTGATCGAACAGTTATTAAATTAGCAACAGAGTTTTTCGGACTCGCAGAACAGGCAAAGAAAAATTATTTGAATGTAGTTGAAGATGATGGCTACCATTATGTGACTGAAACAGCGCATCGATATGATCTAATTTTTATTGATGCATTTGTGGAAGATAACATTCCTACTCACATCAGTAGTCNAATGTCATCTGTTGAATACGTATGGTCCTGCCGAGATCACGGAAACGGCGACATGTTATGAAGTGAATCGTGATGAAGTGAGTGAGATGATATCGATTCCGATTGGTCGTCCGTTGAGTGGCTATCGGGTGTTCGTTGTCGACGAATATGGACAGGAAGTGGTGCCTGGTGAGCAAGGCGAAATAGTGGTGGGAGGTGTGGGTGTATTTGGTGGATACTATGGGCGAGAAGAGTTGAGTAAGGAGGTGATGATGGAAGTGGAAGGTGATCTATGTTATAAGACGGGTGATTATGGTCGAATGGAGGTGAAGAGCGGTGAGTTGAAGTTTGTTGGAAGAAAAGACTTTCAGATCAAACTTCGAGGGCAACGGATCGAATTATCCATGATCGAATCGATTATTCTACAATCGTCCGGTGATATTTTGAATTGTGTAGTCACTAAAGAAGATTCACCAAACGACAGCTATTTATGCGCTTACATAAAGGTAAGAGAGTCTTTAAACAAAAAGAATATCGAAGATGTAGTAATAAGATATTGTCGCAATCAATTGGCTTCGTATATGACACCGTCGAAATGGTGCTTTTTACCTGACCTACCATTAAATGCGAATGGCAAAATTGATCGACAAAAGTTGTCATCTGTTTCAGAAGTTACTGATTTCATATCTACTTCGCCGCCAACCATGGAATTGTCACCTTTGGAAAAGAAACTAGAAGATATATTTATTCGTTCGTTTGGTTTGAAGACTCTGCCCGACGTATCGAAATCATTTGGAGAATTAGGTGGAACGTCTTTGGGGGCCATGCACGCATTGATTCTGATTCGACAAGAAATATATGAGCAGATGGATATTAGCCTTCTCTTTGCAAATCCGTCCATACGTCAGTTGGCTACGGTATTAGAACCTCTTTTAACAAGAGATTCCAAATTCATCGAAATGGTGAAAGAAGATGACGAGAACTTTTCCATTCGACCTGTATCGTCATGGGTGATTGAAACGCTAGGTATTCTTTTACTTGCGTGGCTATGCATATGGCCATTCTATGCCATCGCTCACTTGGATATTTATTTTTTTCGTTTGTTCTTAATTCCTTTGATACATTTATTACAATATCCTTTATGTGTTACACTGCTGCGTGGATCGGTTTTACGTGGTCGTGATTCTCTATATTCATGTAAGTATTATCGCTTATGGTTCTTACGGCATCAATGGTCTCTGAATAGATACTGGTTAGGATACTTATATGGAACTCGATTTTATAACATTTACCTCCGTCTCTGTGGAGCGCGTATTAGTAATCAAGCCTATATCTATACTAGTTATATTGATGCACCTTGGTTGATTGAAATAGGTGACTTTAGCTACATTGGTGAGGATGTCGTTCTCTCATCGATTAGCTATCATGATCGTATTTATGAATTGCATGAAATCCACATTGGATCTTATTGTTCAGTTGCAGCAAGAAGCGTTTTACATGATCGAGTCGACATGCATGATAGAGTATATGTAGCGCCATTAACATCAATCACCGGTCGCGTTCATAGTAATGACGAGACTGTTGTCGAATCCTCAAGTGCATCACACCTCGATTATTCGATACCTCAACTGACTATGATTCTACTACTAATATCTCTACACTCGTTGGTTGTAGAGATCAGCTGGTATATAATAGCTAGGATATCAGTATGCTGGTTCAGTTGGTCGATTATTAATGCAAGTGTTGGCTTGCTTCTCCTTCGTTTCCTAGTGGGTAACGTGGAAGAAAATTTCTCTCATTCGATAAATTCCTGGCCATTTTTTCGTCGATTTTGGTTGCGTCGTCTGGTTATCCATTCGTTCCATCCATGCTTCTCAACCGTTTTTGATGGATTCAATTCTTTGACTCCGCGAATTCTTCGTTGGTTGGGCGCCACGACTGATAATCGAAATATTGAAATAGCAGATTTCGTTCCACTTCTTTCAATCCCCTCAAATCTTCTAACAATTCAATCAGACGTGACAACAACATCGGAGATTTGTTTTGTGCCGTATGATATTACAATTAATAGTCAATGTATCGTTAATGGCCGAACTCAAATAAATCGTGGAGTTTTTCTTGGAAACAATTCTCTTCTTCAATCAGGTGTTTCTATTCCCGACAATGTTTTGACTGGATCGTTGACACGACTTGATTCTAAAACAATAATGCACGCTGGTGATATTCTTCTAGGTGTTCCTGCTCAACCAATGCCATTCACTTTATCAGATGCCAACGAAACACGAAAGGTTTCCAATGACTTTCAACGAATAGTCTGCGAACTCATCCATTTCGTTTTACTTGATCTTTTACTGGATACACTCGTCACCTCTAATATTCTTCAATTCCTGCTAACGGTGCCGATATTTATGGTAATCTATTCGTTTACTATCTGTATAGTGTACTTCTATTTAATGAAGAATTCCACTTCGACGATAACACTAGCAATGATACTTTATTCTCAGTACACGAAATACACTGGACAGCTTTTAGGTGGCACACAATGGCTCGTTTTTCTTCTTCGTCAATTTGGTGCACAGATTGGCAATGATGTTATTATTGATGAAATGAATTCTTTATACGATGTTCATTTAGTTACGATTGGTGACCACGCTCGTTTATCACCGACATGCCAAATACAGGTAGGAAATTTCCTTTTATAACATCGTCTCTTCGCATTTTTCTCTATAAAAATATAGTGTCATACATTTGAGCATCGTCATCTGAAACTTCGTCCGGTCAACATTGGTCCGCATTGCATTATCAAAGAGATGGCATTCGTGTTACCCGGCGTTGAATTTCATGGCCATAATTACTTGTATCCATGTTCACTTGCTTTACCACATGATCAGTTTCTACGTCATACAGACTGGTGTGGATCACCAACAAAACGCTTGACTGTTCATTATGGAATAGAACCACCACAGTTCATTCTTGCTAAACAGCAATCATCCATTGATAAATACGATGTTATTGTTGCGCGCACCGATGATGACATTCTCACTCTTTATTTTGGAGACAATGGCTGGATGAGCTGGCAGTCTGGCCTTAATTTACGACAACCCTATCGGCCAAACGACATTTATATTCGACTGTTCTTTACAGCTTTCTTATGTAAGACTACACCGAAACGTATTCTGACTGTTGGTCTGGGAGGCGGAATATGGCCGCTACTAATTCGACACTATTTTTCTGCAGTTATTATTGATGTTGTTGAAATTGATCGAACAGTTATTAAATTAGCAACAGAGTTTTTCGGACTAGCAGAACAGGCAAAGAAAAATTATTTGAATGTGGTCGAAGATGATGGTTACCATTATGTGACTGAAACAGCGCATCGATATGATCTCATTTTTATTGATGCATTTGTGGAAGATAACATTCCTACTCACATCAGTAGTCAACAATTTTTTCTCAATCTACGTCAAATTTTAAATGATAACGGTTGCCTTATTACAAATGTGAACGTCCCAGAAACGATTGTCTTTGATCGAATCGTTCAAAAGCTTACTTCAGTGTTCGAGTCCAATATTCTCTTAGCTCATACAAATACAATTGAAAACGCACGTGTGATCATTTCAGGGAGCCAGTCATCAATAGGGTTATTATCGTCACGAACAGAAGCAATTCAACAAGCAGAAATGTTTCAACTGACAACACATTTAGAGTTTAATCTGTCAAATTTGATCTCTCGCGCATATCGTGGTTTAATCTGTAACGAAAAATTGAATGAAATCAAAGAAATCTAAACAATAAATAAAACCTATGTATTCCTATTTATAACGAGAGACAACATAAGTCTTTTCTTTCGTTTGTAACAGTCGACGAAGAACCTTTTGTAGAATAGGAATATAGTAGATCTGAGCAGTTATTATCGTCTTTTTGTTGAACAACGTAAATGTGTTTGTCTTTATAAATGAAATCTTAAAAAAGCAAATATGACGGATGTTCTTTTGTCCATAGATGAACCGTCTGCACGATAAGTAGCCAATTGGCTGTATGAAAGAAGAACTATTAGTCATGCATGTAGCTACTTGAAAATAATTGTATTAAAGGTAGTTCTTTGTCGTTTAATGAATGTTTATTTTCTCTTTATGCCAACAAAAAAAAACTTTGCACATCCATTTTCCTATTTCTGTTTTGCTTTAACATAAAAATCAATTGACAATGTCTTGTTGGGTGTTATATTGTCTGTGCTACCCGTATCAATCAAGAAGAAAAACAATCGTCTACGTAACAAAGTATACATCATTTGCTCATGAGAAAAAGGCCAGAGAATATTAATGTTGCAGCGTGTAAATCACACGTAATACTCCATCGATTCGCGAGGGGTTGAAGTAGAACTGATAAACGATGTTAGTCACACCTTCCTTACAAACAGATATTCCCATTAGAAAAGTTTTATTTGTCGAATCGAAAATAAAAGGAACAAATCACGACTTCAAGTACGATGTGTTTGAAATGTCACTACAAATAAACTGGCAATCCACTTCGCACAGACTCGTCACACGCCAAAGCGACCTGTAAACTGCTGACAGCATCTTGTAGATGTTCGGTCAAATCAAGATCATCTTGAATGGCTTTCAACAAGTATTGTTGTTCGCGTCTGCACAATTCTTGATGATCTGGCTCGTCTTGCAAATCAATCCAAGTATCATTTTGCAAGAACTGGTTACTGTCATTCAACGCAGCATGGTGGATTCGAAGAGATTCAGCATTAGTATGCATGTCCACACTATCTGATTTTCCGTCGGCTCCAGCGTTCTTGGCAACAATAGATACACAACCTTTAGGTCCAATGACATCTTTTACGAAGAAAGCAGTTTCACTCATCATTGGACCCCAACCGGCTTCATACCAGCCGACCGATCCGTCTGCAAATCGAATTTGTAATTGTCCATAATTGTAGTTACTGTCCGGTATATCATCAGTTAATCGTGCACCAATGGCGTTGACTTGAACAGGTTTTGAACGGCTCATTTGACACATAATATCAATGTAATGCACTCCACAATCGACAATTGGACTCAAACTTTTCATTAAATTTTTATGGACTATCCACATCTGACCATGACTTTGTTGATTTAGATTCATTCTCATCACTAATGGTTTACCTAATGTTTGGGCTAATTCCACGAATTTCTTCCAGGAAGGATGATGCCGTAAGATATATCCAACCACAAGCTTTTTTCCGGCCTTTTCAGCTGCTTCGACGACTCGTTTGGCACCTTCTACTGTATCAGCAAGCGGTTTTTCAATAAACACATGACAGCCATGCTCAAGTGCTATGATAGCCAAGGCTTCATGCGTGTCAGGATAAGTTGAAATGCAAACAACATCTGGCTTCGTGCTTTCCAAGGCAGTATTAATATCGTTGAATAAAGGATGACCACCACCTAATTTTTCGTTAAGTACGTCTTTACTTCTTCCAGTAGAAACCAATCCACAAAGTTGAATCTCTGGCAGCAGGGAATAAGCTTTGGCGTGGGCTGTACCCATATTTCCACACCCGACAATAAGAACCCGCATTATGTTGAATCTATTCGAAATGAAAACAAAGATTTCATACATTCTCCATAAGACATAGATGAGAGAATAGAGATAAAAATGAGAGATAAGAGAATGACTTTTGCGTTCTGTTCAAATTAACAATATAAATGTTATGATAGAAAGAATAAAATATGTTGTTTATGTCGACTCTCTCATGCATAAAATCACATTCGATTGTCCTACGACGTATATTCTACACTTAATCGACTCGATATACGTTGTATATCTCCTAATGAGTAGTGAACGTGCATCAGGTATATTATTACACATCACAAGTTTACCAAGTCCGTACGGTATCGGCGACTTTGGTCCTGAAGCGTACAAATTCGTTGACTTTCTACATGAGACAAACCAAAAACTATGGCAAATACTACCATTAACTCCGACTGAGAAATGTTCACCCTATTCTAGTGTATCAGCATTTGCTGGCAATCCATTGTTGATTAGTCCTGATAAATTATGTGATATGAAATTATTGACGAAAGAAGATTTGATTCTACCATCTGCATATTCCTTCGATGATAAATATGTAAAATTTAAACATGTAACAGAATACAAACATATGATTTTGAGAAAAGCATTTGAAAATTTCAGCAACAAAAAACGCGCCAATATCATACTGAAAGAATTTCTTCAATCCGAACATGACTGGCTTGATGATTATTCGTTATACATGACAATTAAAGAACGACAAAATAAAAAATCCTGGTCAGAATGGTCACGTGATCTGAAATTCCATCAGAAAGACAAATTACAACAAGTGCGTGAAACACAACAGAATACAATTGCATATCATATTTTTACTCAATATATATTTCATGAACAATGGACACATTTAAAAATCTATGCAAATCAATTAAATGTTAAACTTATCGGTGATATACCTATTTATGTTGATTATAATTCAGCGGATGTATGGTCAAATACAGAGATATTTCAATTAGATAATAGTACATTACTTCCATCTGTTGTTTCAGGTTATCCACCGGATGACTGTAGCACAAATGGACAAAATTGGAATACACCAATTTATAATTGGAATGATAGTTTGAAAAAGCCTGCAGTATTTAATTGGTGGATAAAACGTTTAGAAAAAACACTGCAAATGGTGGATATTGTCCGTATCGATCATTTTCGTGGCCTTGAATCCTATTGGTCGATTCCTGTCGACGCCAATCATGTTCCCTTGCAACCAAAAGATGGTCAATGGGTAAAAGGACCGTAAGGTTTTCATTGAAATCTATCATAGTTTCTTTCGAACATTTGAATTAGAGGAGCTGAGTTTTTCCATGCTATTTTTAACGCATTAGGAAAAGACTTACCTCTCATCGTTGAAGATCTCGGCAATATAACGAAAGAAATCGTTGAGCTACGCGAACAATTCAATCTGACGGGCATTCGAATCCTGCAATTTGCCTTTACTTTCCAACCAGACAATCTTCATCTTCCGCACAACTATCCACCGAATTGCACTGCATATACAGGCACGCATGATACTCTAACAGTTGTCGGCTGGTGGACACATCATGCATCGAAAGAGGAGAAGAAGAACTTTCTCGAATATATTAATATTCCGATCATGCACGATGACGACGATTATGAGCAACTGGGTAATCAAGATATTGTTATATCTTATCTAGATAAACATATCAACTGGTATTTTATACAAATGGTTTTGGCAACAGTTGCTAATCGTACTATTATCGAATTTCAAGATGTACTCGGCCTAAATAATGATTGCCGAATGAATGATCCATCATTGTGTAAGTTACCCGTGATGATTAAATGTTTTTGATGGTAATAATTTATTCGTTTAGCATCAGATCCTGATTGTGATGGTCCGCAAAATTGGGCATGGCGATTCACTTGGACAATGGTGCGTGACAAATTTCGAGAAAAATTGAAATTCTTCACGAATATTTATAATCGGAAATAGCTCCCGAGTTTTTCTATAAATATTGATTATTGACTTATATTTTGCATTTCTAATGTATTTTGAAATCGAATACAATAAACTATCCTTTTTTCTTCTCTTTATGCCAATATCACATCCATTTGATCACAAGTGAAAACCTTCGTTATGAAGCGAGCAGAGAAACGATCTTCTCATTTAAATCTTCTGAAAATTTTATTTGCTGCATTTCCGACGATTGTTTTCGGTGTTTTTACAGTCGTGTTCACTCTACAGCAGAATGCATCGGCTAAGGCTGCACGTGAGCAAGATCAGCGGCAAGCAGATGAAACCAATCAACGCATCATCTTCAAAGAATATATCGATGATATGAAAGAACTCCTTCTAGATAAATATTTCGCCCAGAACATGACCAGATCGTTACTTCATATCCGCGTTCAAACATTAACTGCATTGAAAAGTCTTGACACCAATCGTAAACGTGATATCATTATCTTTCTTTATGAAAATCATCTTATTCGTCATGATAAGTCACCGCGTATTGAATTACGTGGTGCTGATCTGACAAATGTGAAATTCGGAGAATCATCGATAGAAACTTGTCTGTTAACTAATCTTTATTTGCCAGGAATCTATGCAAAGGGCATTATATTCGATGGTTGTGACTTAGCAGGTGCACGTTTCGATGATGCTTTAATGAATAACGCACAATTTTACTCATGTATATTATACAATGCAACTTTCGTTCGAACAAATTTGACGAATGCAAAATTCTATGATAATTATATTTTTATGGCAGATTTTAGTAGTACTTTACTCACTAAAACCTCGATTAAAGGCGGCATTCTTCAAGGTGTCAATCTAACAAATGCAGATCTATACAAAAGTGATATCAATGACGCTTTAATGTATCCGCTTAACTTTGGCGGTGTAGAACAAAATGAATTTCGCAACGCTCGATTTCCCAATGGATCATTCAGTGACATGAATACGAAAAATTTACTCAACGAAACTGAATCTAAAGTTTGTTAGACGCGAATAGTCTCCAATTTTTTCAAAACTTTCTTTTAGTGCGGTCGAAATACAACAGTTGCTTGGATAGATGCCGTTGACCATAACCAGTTGGCTATCATTCATGGTGGTCAAATGAATGTTGGAAATGATTGCTTCTTTGTACTTGATCATCGTGATGATCAGATTGCTTTGCTTCCAGTTAGGACTCAAGAGTATTCTCTTCTGATTGATTTAGAACAAGCGAAGTTCAACCTATCGGCGTTGATTGGTCTCGAAAATACAAATACGAATACGAATGATGAAGTAATGATGACGGTACATTTTGCGCAAGATAAAGGTGGATTTGATTCTGCACGTTCTGCGCGAAGTCAGTTACTTAGAAAAGAAATATTTTGATTTGAATACTTCATTTTCGTGTTTAGAATCAATCCGAAACCAAACATCGATTCAGTTTCATTCGTTCATCCACGATATTATTCCTAAAACAAGACATCTTTACATATCTTTTTCATGTACTGTTGTTAGCGGCACTAAGAATCAACAATGCTTATTCGACCAAGTAGAAATTTCAATATCCAAGAAAGACATCTAACATATTTCTTAAATAGATAAAAAAAAGTGTTCTTTCTTTTATATACTCTCAAGAAGAAGACGCTCTATCTCTATGTAATATAAAAGATAACCGGTTTCATTCTATCAAAGTTGAGAAGATACTTTACACTTTCTGATGTTACTCTTTCTTCCATTCACTGTCTTTTTCATATATACTCAAGCCAAACCATTGAAGGGCGTCGGCTCTACAAGTCCGTCTAATCATTGTGATGAAATCGATCGTCTGAATGTTGTTTGGTACTATAATTGGTTGCCGAAATCGAACTGCACATCGAGTCCAACAGCTCAATTCATTCCAATGATTTGGAGCGATGCCTTTCTGGACCAACTACCGTTAGCAAACAGCTCGGGTGCACCAGTTTTACTCACTTTCAATGAGCCAGATTTCGACCAGCAAAGCAACATGACTGTTGAACTTGCTGTTTCTCTTTGGCCACAAATTGAACGAGGAATCAGTTTTCAAATGAAAATCTCTTCGCCCGCACCAACATCTTCACCAGCTGGACAACGATGGCTCTTACAATTTTTAACTTTGTGTATACACTGCCGCATTGATATCATTGCCTTGCATTACTACAACGCTTGTGACGTAGACACTTTCTTCGCATTCCTTGACAGTTGGGCAATTTTTGGTTTACCTCTTTGGCTCACTGAATTCGACTGCATGAAACGATCTGAAGAAGACAATATAACGTTTGCACAGTCAGTGATTCCTTTGATGGCAAAACGAGCACCGTCGTTGCAGCGCTTTGCTTGGTTTGCTACTCGTACTGATATAAAAGACAAATACTATTATGGCTGTGCACTAATGAATGCAACGACATCGGAATTAACAGAACTCGGTAGTGTCTACCGAGCTTTGTGATGCGTTGGGTTGACGATCGTAGTAATTTGTCATCGTGATCTAACTACGTACTATTTGATCGTCTTACAGGATGTGAATGAGACGAACTGAACTGATTGAAATTACTGCAAAGGTCTATGTCCACTGAAAACACGTCTGTGCGAAAAAGATTTAATAAGCACTTATGGAAATGAAGACTTTGTTGGTTCATAAGTAGTAAACGTTAAGTATGAAATGCACCCAAAAGAACAGCATACAGAAAAATATTCAAATAAATCATTTACCGGACGCCTGATGTGATGTAATCGAATTGTCTTCAAGGCTATATGCGCAATTTAGATTTTTTCAAAATGTTAAGATAGGATTCATAACGCTTGTCTGTCTGAATTTGAAGATTCACAATGAAGTTTCTATAGGCAGTACTGTATCTTCTTTCTTCTGATAATTTATAAGTTAAGTGCGACTAGACACTTTGCATAATTTCCTAAATCATTGTTTACTTGCCTTTTTACTCGACAAATGTTTATACACAGTTTGTCTCATATGTTCACGCGTTCGTATCATAATAGCGTCAAAATATCGAATTTTCCGTTCTACATTATACTGAGCATACCTTGATAGTTCCAATGGGAAATTTTCCACCACAGAAATCGAATGTTCTTTCATTTTGATGAATTCGGTGTTATCCTTGCAATTCCTTGTTATTTATTTGCATTTTACTATCTTCTCGCCGAGAAAACAACTCGTCAAAACCTGTGTAATTATGCCATCATATTATACTATTATATCATGTTGCAATTAATTTATCAATGATATTAAACTTTATGCACCTCGGTATTGTCTCACCATTTAATCCGACTATGTGTGTTATCTGGCAGTATGTTGACATTGACCTATGGTATGATGCGCTGTCACCCATATTTTGGACAACACTTGAACGAAATATTTCAGTCTTGCGAACAAGTTTCCGTTCCGACAGAGACTCACTGTGGCACAATCTGTCTGTACACAAACGCCCCAGCTATTTAACTCATATGTTGATTACATAGTATGCCAACTCTTTTGATACCCATTTATAGCATCGCACTCTTGGTCCGATTTATAAAACAAAATGACGCTTGCAACAGAATGTTATTCGGCGCCTATGTCGGAAATGATCATCAAATCATACTAATTAGTATCGACAGTCTATATAATTTTTAATCTTCCTACCGTTCTGGTTTTTATTGAGCAAGTGTCTGAATATCCTGCATTTGGTCGATATGACATTTGTTTCTTCAGTGACTGTGCCATTCATGATTCTGCTGACATTACGTAGACTGAGGGAAAAGTTTCGCAATCGTTGCTTCTGGAAGACGCATCAACGAGCTGTCTTTCCAGAAAATACAACAAATTAAAAACGGCGTCGTTATTATTTGATGGACATCGTTACAAAATCTTACGCTCAATAAAAATCGCCTCTGTAGAAACAAACCAGAAGTACTCATCGCACATAAGATTTAGTTACTGTGTGAGTACGATACACGTCCAGTATCAAGTGCAGATTAAATATAAACAGAAAGGGAAAAGTACAGGTGGCTCATACACAGAACGCGTGACAGAATATTGATTGAGAGGAAACTCCGAGAAACGTAAGAAAAATGTAATTGGATGCGAGATCTATTTGCTTAGTTTATGACAATAATCTATGAAAAATTCAAATATACAAGTCTGGTTAAGTTCAACGTTGGAGCTTCTTCATTTTCACTAGATAAATTTGGATAGATATAATACTAAGACACAAAAAATGTGAAGTTATGCTTGAATGAGTTACTGTTCTATAGTAAACACATATACAGTCATTTGTTCACTTTCTCAATCATAGTATCACTAAATTTGTTTCGAAGAAAATGTCTGAAGAAGACATTCAACAGTGGAATATTGACTTGCACGGTAAATCTCCTGAAGAAATTATTCGTTGGTCATTAAATCGATTCGGATCTGACAAATCAATTGTATCGACGAGTTTCAGGCCATATACTGCAGTTTTTCTTCACATTGTCACGCAAATCAATCCATTCATTCCAATTCTCTGGATTGATCATGGTTACAATCGTGCATCAACGTATAAATATGCTGACAAGATTCAACAACTTCTCAATTTGAATCTTCAAGTTTATTCTCCTCGATTAACTGCTGCTCGTCGCGACGCTCTCTTCGGTCCATTACCGATTAATCTTGACAATGAATCTGCTTTACGAGAATTCAGTGCGTTAATGAAACTAGAACCCTTTTCACGTGCTATGAAGGAATTGAAACCTCAAGTTTGGTTCACTGGCATTCGTCGTACAGAGAATTCTCATCGAAAATCGTTCGATACTATTTCATTTGATTCCACATTTCATGTTTTCAAAATTAATCCTTTATTCTATTGGACCGATGAACAAATGAGCTCGTACCTTATCGAACATAATCTCCCCAATGAATTGGACTATTTCGATCCAGCAAAAGGGGACGATCAGAGAGAATGTGGTCTACACACGTCATGGGCTAAAAAATATATCTATAAACAGTGAAGATTTTGTCATCCACTGACTAAAATGCTATTGAAAGATTTTCAAGGCTATTTATCACATCCAAAAACATGTTCTGCCAATTTCATTTTGTTCGTCTCAGCCTGTAAGACGTTATGTAGATGTAATCCTGTAAAGTCAAAATTTTTTGTCTTCTATCTCTTCATCTTAGTGAACTCTCGGTAAAAGTCACTGAAATATCATCAAAAGCAAACGAGAACGGATTGTTCTCATGGGCAAATTCTCGGTGTGTGTGTGTTATGAGTTTGAATTACTCCCATCTTGTTGATTTACCTTTAACCGTCAACAATAAGTATGTCAAAATGCCAGCAGCACCTAAAGTACATATTTCGTTTTTCGAAATGACAATAATATCGATACAAGTTCTACAATTATCTTAAGGTGAAAGTAGACCCTTGAGCATAAGTGTGATCGTTATCAAATCTATTAGCAGTTTTTTGCCTTTGATAACCAGTATAAGCTGACGAAGGTCACTAAAGACTTCAATAATATATTATACTACATTCAAAGCTAATGTTAGAATATAGTCTATTATTGGCTATATTTATAATATGAAAATAATGTCATTGTATGGCTTGAAATCTGTAAGTTCATAGAACAGTTAATTTATATTTTTTGAAAATAAGAGCAATTACAAGGACATTTTCATCACGCGTACTTTTCGACAGGTATGTTATGGATTGTCATCTCCTTCTTCAAGCTTTTTCTAAGTTAAGCCTTGTACACGAATATCAGTATCGATGATGCTAATACTGAGCGCCACTAACGTAACACCAAAGTATAGACTGCAACTAGGATTAAAGGTGTACAATTCCATTTTCAAGCGATCGTTTACGAAGACAAGCTGAGTCGCACAAATGGGAAGCTATAACCATTACGAATCAACTAACAGTTTGATTACGATAATACATTTTAAAAACCTGTGTATGCTGAAGGATTTATTGACATAAGAGGTAAATGTTGCTCGTTTGGACATTCAATGTTAGATATCTTAGCATCAGTAAGATATTCTTGGATTTCTTTATAAACTGCACTCTTTGAAAAATTTGCCTATAGAATAAGAAAAACTGTTCAAATCAGATGAAATCACGGTGCGATATCATCGTTCAAGTAATTAAGAAATTATATCCCTAATCATGAAGAATTAGCAGACGAAGCTTTGCTTTTCACGACTTTTGATTGGAAATTTTTTCATGTTTAGTAGATTGTCTTGATGAGACAAAGTTGTCGTTCAATGGCGTCGTCTACAATAACCAAAAGGATATGGTTCAGTGAATATACTGAGAGAGTGCCTAGAGGATGGCGTTCGAACATAATTGATGAAGAGGTGAGGCAAATGTTTACCAACAATGAATATGCAAGAGAATGAATTGTTAAATTGAACACGCCATATTCACCATGAATGGAAAGAACAACACGAAGTTATTCTCACAGCATTCGATTAGCTTACAGCACATTCAACGCAGAAGATAAAACTATACTCTATAGTTCCGGTACTGGTCGGTTCTCTCCAGCCACTCATGATAAATTTTGCGAAATTCCAATCAAAACGATCCAATAGATATCCGTAGAGATCAATGCTACATCCCTCCAAAATCTGATAAATATTACTTTCGATCGTTTTTTTTTATTATAGGCAACTTTATTTTTCGATTGATTCTGTTTTGAACTGACACCCAATCACATCAACAAAGCTCCTAAGGCACATCTTAGTATTATGTTCTCAGATTCCATCAGCGGCAGACAGTCGAAATACTAAGAGTCGAATGCTAAAAGACAAAATATTGTGCGCCAAATGAAAAATAGAGAAATTACATTACTCAGACGTCATATATTACTACGTGAAAAAGGTCCAGTAATACCTGTTTCACGGGTTCTGGATCAATGTCGTCCGGTAAGTCTTTCCTAGTTTCTTTTGATTTCAGTTAACATGCCATTTACCCCTTTCAACAAATCACTTGTGTGATACAACAGGGCGTTTACATCAGAATCACGTCATCTACGAGCTAATGGTCGTGAATTTAAGTCGCTAAAAATGTGCCGGTATGGTAATTGCTATTCACGATCAGAATATAACTTACGTTGATTCATGTCGCCACTGTGTCGAAGCTTTTGGACTTAATGCAACTTTTTTCAAGTTCTACTATCGTAAAGTTCGTGTCATTGTTCACTTTTCTTATGTTTGTTCATATATATATATTGCTTTTTACGTGGTATTAAAATCAAGATAGTAGATAGTTCACAATAATTGATTGTGCGACAAGATTTTCATTAAAATTATTCGTTTTTTAACCGTCTGCAATTATTATGAGCATTAATCTATTAAAATAGGTTTGTTGATCCATTATCATGTTAGTCTGACTGTAATATGTCACATTTAGTTGATGTTTTAATTGTTGTGCAACTTGACATAAACGGAAAACTATTTCTGAAATAGTTTTCATCTTTATTGTAGGAAAAATATCACAAGGCTTTGAGATATAATGGTAGTGAATATCTTAGGTGGCGTATGTTTGGGCAAAATGTTTCGGCAGAACTGTGTAGTGAAGATTTGTAAGATACTGGACAACAAAGATATTGTCAATTTGATTACATTTATATACAAGTTAGTTTAGAGAATATTGTCTGGAGTTTATAGTTTTATTATTCTTACAGAGAGCTTGGTGCTAACGATAGGAAGAAATACTTTGGAAGCGGTACCGAAAATATCAGACGAAACGTGCTCAACCGTATTTACGAAAGAAACGAAAGCTGCAATCGAGCAAAATACGGACTATAGAACGATTTGAATCGATTTCTGGAGAGATAAGCTTCAGTCTGTTGTCGAAAAAACGTATGGTCAGAATTCTATTGAATTTTACATTTGTTTAGAGAAATTTCATTAATATGTTAATATGTCCTATTCTGTTCTTTTTTTTTTTAATTTTCTTCGTCTCCATCTGTGAAGGCTACGATGATTCGTTCGTCTGTATAGTAGGTACTTAAACAAACACATTTTCTTCATTCGAAACACATATATAATTATATTCAAGTCAAGATGAATACACGCTCACAACCTAAGCTTAGATCTATTCAAGAAAGAGAAACTCCGGTAGATTTAGCAAAGTCTCCCTATCTTCTACAATTAGTTACTCCATTTATTAGGTATTATCCGTATATGAGGTACGCGAAAGTATTTCATCATGTTCATCGGCAAGCAGTGTTTATCTAAAGACCGTTCAATTGAAAAATGCAAACGGAAAAATTTCACCTTCTTCATCACTTCAATCAACCGATTCGACTATTTTACCATCACTTCACGAAGAAAATTCGTACGACATTACATTAACCTGAAAATGTCTTTCTTCTGTCTTTTCATTTTCATAGATCTTCAACACAGGCCATTCAAACATCTCCAAAGGCAAAGCAGAGAGGACCATTCTCGTTGTCAAAAGTGCTCGTCATTATTGCAATGATTTTTCTCGGTATATGCGCAGTAGGAGTGGGAATCACTGCGGTTATGTTGATTGTTTTGCGACCAACAACAACCACCATAATAACCACGACGACGACAAGTACGACGAGCACGACAAGTATGCATATTGCTTTTCAAGATAAAGAATTACTTTTGAGGCAATAGGTTCCACTTCAACAACTTCTACAAGCACAACTAGTACTAGTGAGTATCTTTGTAACTAATCAAATGAGATCAAATTCAGTGACTTTCTCTGACAAAATACCAAGGCATCTTTGAAATTCAATTTAGCATCAACAACAAATGCTGTGTGTTCAACTATGCCTAATACATGGTACACAACATCCGCTACGATTCCAGGGCAATGTATAAACTATACAGTGGACACCGATGCGACGCGTCGGTATTCATATACTGCNTGTGGAAGATAACATTCCTACTCACATCAGTAGTCAACAATTTTTTCTCAATCTACGTCAAATTTTAAATGATAACGGTTGCCTTATTACAAATGTGAACGTCCCAGAAACGATTGTCTTTAATCGAATCGTTCAAAAGCTTACTTCAGTGTTCGAGTCCAATATTCTCTTAGCTCATACAAATACAATTGAAAATGCACGTGTGATCATTTCAGGGAGCCAGTCATCAATAGGGTTATTATCGTCACGAACAGAAGCAATTCAACAAGCAGAAATGTTTCAACTAAAAACACATTTAGAGTTTAATCTTTCAAATTTGATCTCCCGCGCATATCGTGGTTTAATCTGTAACGAAAGATTGAATGAAATCAAAGAAATCTAGACAATAAATAAAATCTATCTACTCCTATTTAATTATAACGAGAGACTACAGAAGTCTTTTCTTTCGTATGTGACGGTCTACGGAGAACCTTTTGTACAATAGGGATATAGTAAATTTGAGCAGCTATTATTGTCTTTTTGCTTCCAATCGGTTTCGGAACTTTCGTTCGACATCGTTATCAATTAGTAGGTTGCTATCTATGTTTTGATCTTACTCATTTTAAACAGCTATTGAACAACGTAAATGTGTTTGTCTTTATAAATGAAATCCTAAGAAAGCAAATATGACGGATGTTCTTTTGTCCATAGATGAACCGTCTGCACGATAAGTAGCCAATTGGCTGTATGAAAGAAGAAATATTAGTCATGCATGTATATAGCTACTTGAAAATAATTGTATTATAGGTAGTTCTTTGTCGTTTAATGAATGTTTATTTTCTCTTTATGCCGACAAAAAAAAGATTTTGCACATCACACTTTATAAGAATCCATTTTCCCATTTCTGTTTTGCTTTAACATAGAAGTAACACAAAGCAAAACTTAAATGAATTGACAATGTCTTGTTGGGTGTTATATTACCTGTGCTACCCGTATCAATCAAGAAGAAAAGCAATCGTCTATGTAACAAAGTGTATAACTTTTGCTCATGAGAAAAAGGCCAGAGAAGGTTAATGTTGCAGCGTGTAAATCACACGTAATACTCCACCGTAATTCGCGAGGGATTGAAGTAGAACTGATAAACGATGTTAGTCACACCTTCCTTACAAACAGATATTCCCATTAGAAAAGTTTTATTCGTCGAATCAAAAATAAAAGGAACAACTCACAACTTCAAGTATGATGTGTTTGAAGCGTCACTACAAATAAACTGGCAATCCACTTCGTACGGATTCGTCACACGCCAAAGCGATCTGTAAACTGCTGACAGCATCTTGTAGATGTTCGGTCAAATCGAGATCATCTTGGATGACTTTCAACAAGTATTGTTGCTCGCGTCTGCACAATTCTTGATGATCTGGCTCGTCTTGCAAATCAATCCAAGTATCATTTTGCAAGAATTGGTTATCGTCATTCAGCGCAGCATGGTGTATTCGAAGAGATTCAGCATTAGTATGCATGTCCACACTATCTGATTTTCCGTCGGCTCCAGCGTTCTTGGCAACAATAGATACACAACCTTTAGGTCCGATGACATCTTTTACGAAGAAAGCAGTTTCACTCATCATTGGTCCCCAACCAGCTTCATACCAGCCGACCGATCCGTCTGCAAATCGAATTTGTAATTGCCCATAATTGTAGTTACTGTCCGGTATGTCATCAGTTAATCGTGCACCAATGGCGTTGACTTGAATAGGTTTTGAACGGCTCATTTGACACATAATATCGATGTAATGCACTCCACAATCGACAATTGGACTCAAACTTTTCATTAAGTTTTTATGAACTATCCACATCTGACCATGACTTTGTTGATTTAAATTCATTCTCATCACTAATGGTTTACCTAATCTTTGGGCTAATTCCACGAATTTCTTCCAGGAAGGATGATGCCGTAAAATATACCCAACCACGAGCTTTTTTCTTGCCTTTACAGCTGTTTCGACGACTCGTTTGGCACCTTCTACTGTATCAGCAAGTGGTTTTTCAATAAACACATGACAACCATGTTCAAGTGCTAAGATAGCCAAGGCTTCATGCGTGTCAGGATAAGTTGAAATGCAAACAACATCTGGCTTCGTGCTTTCCAAGGCAGTATTAATATTGTTGAATAGAGGATGACCACCACCTAATTTTTCGTTAAGTACGTCTTTACTTCTTCCAGTAGAAACCAAACCACAAAGTTGAACCTCGGGCAGCAGAGAATAAGCTTTGGCGTGCGCTGTACCCATATTTCCACACCCGACAATAAGTACACGCATTTTGTTGAATCTATTCGAAATGAAAACAAAGATTTCAAACATTCGCTATAAGGCATAGATGCGAGAGTGGAGATAAAAATAAGAGATAAGAGAATGACTTTTGCGTTCTGTTCAAAATAATATAAATGTTATGGTAGAAAGAATGAAATATATTGTCTATGTCGATTCTCTCATGCATAAAATCACATTCTCTTGTCTTACGACGTATATTCTACACTTAGTCGACTCGATATACGTTGTATATCTCCTAATGAGTAGTGAACGTGCATCAGGCATATTATTACACATCACAAGTCTACCAAGTCCGTATGGTATCGGCGACTTTGGTCCTGAAGCGTACAAATTCGTCGACTTTCTACATGAGACAAATCAAAAACTATGGCAAATACTACCATTAACTCCGACTGAGAAATGTTCACCCTATTCTAGTGTATCAGCATTTGCTGGCAATCCGTTGTTGATTAGTCCTGAGAAATTATGTGACATGAAATTATTGACGAAAGAAGATTTGATTTTACCATCTGCATGTTCCTTCAATGATAAATATGTCAAATTTAAACATGTAACAGAATACAAACATAAGATTTTGAGAAAAGCCTTTGAAAATTTCAACAACAACAAACGTGCCAATATTATACTGAAAGAATTTCTTCAATCCGAACATGATTGGCTTGATGATTATTCGTTATACATGGTAATTAAAGAACGACAAAATAAAAAATCATGGTCAGAATGGTCACATGAGCTGAAATTCCATCAGAAAGACAAATTACAACAAGTGCGTGAAACACAACAGAATATAATTGCATATCATATTTTCACTCAATATATATTTCACGAACAATGGACACATTTAAAAATGTATGCAAACGAATTAAATGTTAAACTTATCGGTGATATACCTATTTATGTTGATTATAATTCAGCGGATGTATGGTCAAATACAGAGATATTTCAATTAGATAATAGTACATTACTTCCATCTGTTGTTTCAGGTTATCCACCGGATGACTGTAGCACAAATGGACAAAATTGGAATACACCAATTTATAATTGGAATGATAGTTTGAAAAAGCCTGTAGTATTTAATTGGTGGATAAAACGTTTAGAAAAAACACTGCAAATGGTGGATATTGTCCGTATCGATCATTTTCGTGGCCTTGAATCCTATTGGTCGATTCCTGTCGACGACAATCAGGTTCCCTTGCAACCAAAAGATGGTCAATGGGTAAAAGGACCGTAAGGTTTTCATTGAAATCTATCAAAATTTCTTTTGAACATTTGAATTAGAGGAGCTGAATTTTTCCATGCTATTTTTAACGCATTAGGAAAAGACTTACCTCTTATCGTTGAAGATCTCGGCAATATAACGAAAGAAATCATTGAGCTACGCGAACAATTCAATCTGACGGGCATTCGAATCCTACAATTTGCCTTTACTTTTCAACCAGACAATCTTCATCTTCCGCACCACTATCTACCGAATTGCACTGCATATACAGGCACGCATGATACTCTAACAGTTGTCGGCTGGTGGACACATCATGCATCGAAAGAGGAGAAGAAAAATTTTCTCGAATATATTAATATTCCGATCATGCACGATGATGATGATTACGATCAACTAGGTAATCAAGATATTGTTATATCTTATCTAGATAAACATATCAACTGGTATTTTATACAAATGGTTTTGGCAACAGTTGCTAATCGTACTATTATCGAATTTCAAGATGTACTCGGTCTAAATAATGATTGTCGAATGAATGATCCATCATTGTGTAAGTTACCGTGATGATTAAATGTTTTTGATAGGAATAGTTTATTCTTTTAGCATCAGATCCTGATTATGATGGACCGCAAAATTGGGCATGGCGATTCACTTGGGCAATGTTACAAGACAAATTTCGAAAAAAATTGAAATTCTTCACAAATATTTATAATCGGAAATGACTCACGAGTTTTTCTATAAATATTGATTATTGATTTATATTTTGCATTTCTAATGTATTGTGAAATCGAATACAATAAACTATCCTTTTCTTTTCTCTTTATATCAATATCATATCCATTTGATCACAAGTGAAAAACTTCGTTATGAAGCGAGCAGAGAAACGATCTTCTCATTTAAATCTTCTAAAAATTTTATTCGCCGCATTTCCGACGATTGTTTTCGGTGTTTTTACAGTTGTGTTCACTCTACAACAGAATACATCGGCTAAGGCTACACGTGAGCAAGATCAGCGGCAAGCAGATGAAACCAATCAACGCGTCATCTTCAAAGAATATATCGATGATATGAAAGAACTTCTTCTAGATGAATATTTCACCCAGAACAAGACCAGATCGTTACTCCATATCCGCGTTCAAACATTAACTGCATTGAAAATTCTTGACACCAATCGTAAACGTGATATCATTATCTTTCTTTATGAAAATCATCTTATTCGTCATGATAAGTCACCACGTATTGAATTACGTGGTGCTGATCTGACAAATGTGAAATTCGGAGAATCATCGATAGAAATCTGTCTTTTAACTAACCTTTATTTGCCAGGAATCTATGCAAAGGGCATTATATTCGATGGTTGTGACTTAGCAGGTGCACGTTTTGATGATGCTTTAATGAATAACGCACAATTTTACTCATGTATATTAAACAATGCAATTTTTGTTCGAACAAATTTGACAAATGCAAAATTCGATGATAATTATATTTTTATGGCAGATTTTAGTAGTACGTTACTCACTGAAACCTCGATTAAAGGCGGCCTTCTTCAAGGTGTCAATCTAACAAATGCAGATCTATACAAAAGTGATATCAATGACGCTTTAATGTATCCGCTTAACTTTGGCGGTATAGAGCGAAATAAATTTCGCAACGCTCGATATCCCAATGGATCATTCAGTGACATGGATATGAAAAATTTACTCAACGAAACTGAATCTAAAGTTTGTTAAACGCGAATATTCTCCAATTTTTTCAAAAATTTTCTTTTAGTGTGCTCGAAATACAACAGTTGCTTGGATAAATGCCGTTAGTCATAAACAGTTGGCTATCCTCAATGGTAATCAAATGAAT